ATCACCACCAATTTTAATCACCACCACAATAAATCACCACCACTATCAATCACCACCAGTATCAATCACTACCATTATCAATCATTATCAACCACTACCATTATCAATCACCACCACTATCAATCACTACCATTATCAATCATTATCAATCACTACCATTATCAATCACCACCACTATCAATCACCACCAGTATCAATCACTACCATTATCAATCATTATCAATCACTACCATTATCAATCACCACCACTATCAATCACCACCAGTATCAATCACTACCATTATCAATCATTATCAATCACTACCATTATCAATCACCACCACTATCAATCACCACCAGTATCAATCACTACCATTATCAATCATTATCAATCACTACCATTATCAATCACCACCACTATCAATCACCACCAGTATCAATCACTACCATTATCAATCATTATCAATCACTACCATTATCAATCACCACCACTATCAATCACCACCAGTATCAATCACTACCATTATCAATCATTATCAATCACTACCATTATCAATCACCACCACTATCAATCACCACCAGTATCAATCACTACCATTATCAATCATTATCAATCACTACCATTATCAATCACCACCACTATCAATCACCACCAGTATCAATCACTACCATTATCAATCATTATCAATCACTACCATTATCAATCACCACCACTATCAATCACCACCAGTATCAATCACTACCATTATCAATCATTATCAATCACTACCATTATCAATCACCACCACTATCAATCACCACCAGTATCAATCACTACCATTATCAATCATTATCAATCACTACCATTATCAATCACCACCACTATCAATCACCACCAGTATCAATCACTACCATTATCAATCACAACCATTATCAATCACTACCATTATCAATCACCACCACTATCAATCACCACCACAATCAATCACCACCATTATCAATCACCACCCTTAATCAATCATCACCACAATCAATCACAACCATTATCAATCACTATCATTTTCAATCACCGCCCTTAATCAATCATCACCACAATCAATCACTACCATTATCAATCATCACCACAATCAATCACAACCATTATCAATCACTACCATTATCAATCACCGCCCTTAATCAACCACCACCACTTTCAATCACCACCATTATCAATCACTACCATTATCAATCACTACCATTATCAATCATCACCACAATCAATCACCACCACTATCAATCACCACCACTTTCAATCACCACCACTATCAATCACCACCACTTTCAATCACCACCACTATCAATCACCACCACTATCAATCACCACCATTATCAATCACCACATCTATACATCACATCAATTATCAATCATCACCATTGTCATTCACCACCATTGTCAACCACAGCTTCTTTTAATCAAAGCAATTTTCAATCACATCCATTATCAATCATCGCCATTATAAATCGAAATCATCAACCATCCACATCGTCATCAGTTATCATTGCGCCATCATTTCATTGTAAGCTATTTTTGAAAGATAAAACGTCTTATCAAATAGCTATATTGCTTCCTTATAATCGTATTTTCTAAACTATTTGAATGATAATTAAGGTAACCAGCATTTGTGCTATATCAATCCTTCAAGATGTTTATTGCTTCATTACTTTTTTCAATGGTCTTAGGGACCTGCAGGACTCCAAGGTCTTCAAGGGGAAAGAGGAGAAGCTGGACAAGAGGTGTGTAGCTATCTCACTAATATTTTCAACACATTTTTAAAGGATTTCTTTCTTAATCATGCTAACATTGAAAGGCATGAATTTGTTGCCATTGCTATTTTTGTCATAAACCTGAATCCAAGGGACCTATGGCCTGTCCATGTTTGTTGCATCAACGATAGTGATATTGTGAAATTGGTCCTCCAGGCATTCATTTGATTCGTCCCATGACTACAACTGCCAATCACAGATTCAAGTTTTGAATTATGATCTTCATCAGTCAATGTCCTTGTATTGGATTGTATTGGATTGATCTTCAATTTATGCCAATGTCATTGTATTGGATTGCAAACTTAGAACCTCCATCTGTAACGAAGGCCGTGTACATTAACACTCAGACCTTTTGCTGTCTGAAAATTCTTCAAAAACAGTTGCTGAGTTCTTTCTGTCATTTTCACACTTTGAGAAGACAGGAAAATGTATTGTCCGCTGTTGATACTAATGAAAGTCGTCTTTTGTTTCAAAGGGCCCAGTCGGAAAGCAAGGACCTGCAGGGGACCCTGGCAAAAATGGAAAACCGGTAAGATGATTAAAATGCATAATTTGATGATTACAAATAAAAATTATACTTGTAAGTTAAGGTATGAACGGCATTAAAACAATTTTGAATTTAAGCACCTTTGTTGTTGCGATCCACTTTAAAAAAAGATGGCCTAAATGTTAAGTATCGAGAATGAATAAACATTCAGGTCTGTACACTAATGTTCATAAAGGAGGGCAAGGTATCAAAAAGTATATTTTTATGCTAAATTTCATGTTTTTTTTCTATCTTTAATCATAAATATTTGTTAAGTATATTTCATCTTCTTGTTAATCAATGACGTAGTTTAACAGCTGATATGTTTGGCAAAAGTTTCTCTCTAGACGTTGTTTGGTCTCTAAGGCCATTTGTCCCTCACCAAGGGAGGGGATGCTGTTTGGGTAGTTTGGTCTATCTGTGTTACATTTACCCCCTCCCCCCAAGAAGAAATGATTAAAGTTACCAAAAGCTGTGTTAAGTTTTACTGTTTAGCAATGTTGGACTGCTGATCAATTTAATATTATTTTCAGGGTTCTAGAGGAAGGAACGGCAGGACTGGACCTCCAGGGAAAAATGTTTGTATTATTTATGCATGTAATATCTGTTGCTTATTTCATTCATTTTTATGGCAGATAGAATCCAAGTTATTTTATTTTTCCCGATTCGCGCTCAATCGGAAACACGCTGCTGAATTTTTGAGTTAGTTTTTCAAGCAGAAGACACAAGAGATGAAATTTTGCAAAAGCTTATTAGAAACCACAAACATATTTAACTAACCACGGCTTAGTTATTTAACATCCACAGATGCTCGTTAGAAGTTTTGTTAAATATCGTTGTGAACACATAAACTTGTATGTTTATAAGAGTTCCAGTTGAAAAGTTCCAGTTACTCCTAGGGACCGCGTGGCCCGCCAGGAAAAATGGGTTTTCAAGGACGACACGTGAGTAATGAAAGCTGTGTTTAGTAAGATGCCTTTATTTCGTTGAAAATTTTTATTTGAGGGCAATAAGAGAGCACCGCCTTTAGAAAAGCTAACTTGTTCCTGAATTGTTTATCGATTACTGTTTATCTATATGTCCATACAGTATGTCCATATCTTCAAACAATGAAGATTACTGTTAATCGGTTTGTTGCAAAGTACTGTATAATGTATGGATAGGGCTATACACATTTCCAAGTGCAGCTCTAAGGTGCTAATCTTGCGCTTCACCCTTACATGTTCTTATATAATTAATCAACAACAATCGCTCAGTTCGATGGTGACGTCATTCGTCGGCCAGGACCGGAATGTGCACTCTATTGAAAGGTTGCCTCAATCGTAAGAATTTTAGAGAGTTCCAGTGCAGCCAAACAGCAAATCATCACCACATTATGATATACATAAATGATTGGCTGACGTAACGTTTACCGCTTTGCCAGTGGCAATATCCGAAATATCCCATCTACTTGAATTCTGTTTCAAATCTTACTATTTCATAGGTTAGAGAATGCAGTAATGTGATATTCTAACCTCAAGTGTGTTGTCATTAATGTTTTCTCGGGTTACAGGGAAGGACTGGTGAACCTGGAGAAAGAGGTGAAGATGGTGCGCCAGGATCACCCGTGAGTAATATCTATAAAAATTTGGATGTTTTTTCAATGATACTGTTGAATTGCCAGATTTTGCTTTCCTTTGTTGACCCTGTTTTGCCCCAGTGTAGCTGTATGATCTCTTTTGAAGGTACTCGAACCTTCTCAACACAAGAACAAATATGCACCGTTTATTGTATTCAGTTCTAGTTTATAGAATTCAGTTTCACGGAAACGGTAGGGTTGCACATTGCCTTGACTTTCAACTTTCATGGGAATCATAAACTAGGACCACTTAAGCTAATTACATTTAAGGAAAATCACTACAGAAATATAGATTCGTAGGGAAATAAAAGCTTTTTAAACACCGCATAGAGACTTTTTAAATCCGTATCGAAAGTAATAGAGGATCGTTTGTGCTTTTTTCTCCATCTCCTATTGTCTAACAGACTTTGTTTGAAGTCTCCTTAGTGTGCTAATTTAGATTCTAATCTCTGTGAATACCAAAATCCTTTTTACAATTATTCTAGTCTCTTGAAAACCATTTACTTCATCAAGTTCCCCTAATTTGGTAGTGTTTCTCAATTCGAAAGAGGCGTTTTGTGAATATTCACCTGATAATAACGTTTCACTTTTATCGTAATGGATCTAGGGGTATTGTTCTACTTTTGTATCACTCCATAATTGTTTCAATTTTTGGAACGGGAGGATACTACTTGACTCATTTCCGTGTAACCAGACTCCTGTGCGTTCCATTTTTTGGAACAAACTAGTAGAAATCTAAGTTATTAAAACCGTTCTCGTGTAAATACAACCTTAGTATGAATGGCTTACTCAGTAGTACATTAGTTTTTCTGCTGTTAAAGTACAATTATGTTCTTAATTATCTATAAGGAATATGGGCGTCTTTGAGGATAGCAAACTATATTTAAATCCGCCAAGTCAATCAGATGTTTCTTGGATATACATTTTTTCATATGACTTCCTGACATCTTGAGCAAATGACAAATTTCGTCCAGGCGATAAAGAAAGGCTGTCAAAGTCGGTTTTCTGATTACATTCAGCTAAAGCAGACCAAAATTGTTGTACTTTCAATTGACAGACAAAATGGAATAAAGATACACTCCTAGAGTTGGTCCAGGGTGAATGAGTCCTTTTTTAGGCTAATGTCTATCCGCGTTCAGAAAATTACATTCCAAATTAAAGATGTTATTACTGATAACCTTACTTAATTACAGCCTTTCTTGACCTCTTTATCTCGTACATTGATATCATTGTGGTCCTCCTTTAATCGAATTGTTTACAGATTGGCTGCACAGGTCTTCTACACTGTAACCAAAATGGTTGTTTTCGTTTTTGAAATAGTTAAATTATAAAAATATTTGTGTAACTTTATCCAGTATAAAAAACATGAAACTTCTTTACAGGGTGATCGGGGAGAGGTCGGAGAAAAGGGACACAAAGGGCTTCCTGGAAAGATGGTAGTGATTTGAAATTGAATTTAGATATACATATTTTGTGTCTATTACTTAATCATTTTACTTGCCTATAATTAAGTGCTGTGTCTACAATTTTATCTAATAGATATAGTTAGATAAATTACTCTACTTTGGTTTATCACCACAATTATTTTTATTGAAACTGCAAACAAAAATTTCTGATAAGATTTCTAATTGAATAGTTTTTTGTGCGAGTAAACCTTAGACGATGAATCCTGAAAAATTTGATAATAGAATTTGATTTGCTGTTTTTTAATCCAGGGTCCGATGGGATTACCTGGCAAGCAAGGATACAAAGGAGCAAAAGGTGAAAAGGTGAATCATTTTTGTGATGCACTGCAAAGATGAATTAACACTAATCGTTTAAAATATGAAATATGAAGAAATATGACAAAGCATTTAGAAATATGAAGTTCCCAGTAATTTTACCCATTCCATAAACAGCATTTCGTCAAACAAGAACTAAATCTACATAAAACACGAAATATCCATGAACAATTATTGAGGGACCAACCATGATATGTAACATTTTAGCCGTGGCGATTAGAGTTTTGTTTGGTGAGATTTTGTCAAGTTGTTTTATGCAGGTAATGTCTTAACGTGAAGATAAAAAGAGACTGTTAAAAGATTTTCACCTTTTTCAATGGAAATATTTCCTTCCCTCTATGTTAGTTCCTTAAGTGGTTCTTGCTTTGGTAAAGCGAATAAGTCGTACGGGGACGATTTTGTGTTGTTTTTTTGTCTTTCCTTAGAAAATTCCGCTTAGAAAATTCCGCTTAGAAACTGGCATTTTGGCTTATGAACAAGCTCAAAATCTTGCTGCCATACAGAAAATGGTCTCATTGTGTGGCACTTGCATTTTTGAAACCTCCCTTCCAATCTTTGCTTTCTTTTTCTTTTTATAATCCATTCATTCATTATATTTCAGGGAACTAAAGGAGAAATTGGTCTCTCTGGTAAACATGGCAGTGAAGGAAGAAAGGTAGTTTTATTTTCTTACATTGACAAACTCTTAGACGCTGCCGAACTTTTACTCACTTTTTGTAATCTAAGTTTTTTAAGAAAAATAATTTATTTTGAATTGAAGGACTAAAACTATTTTCTTCCTCTAAGATGGATATGTTCACTTGTGAATGCACATGATCTACATTTTCGCAAAGTTGATCATCAATGATGATAAGCTTGTGTCTCTAGCTATTCATGCAAAACTTAACTACATGCGACTAGACAAGCCAAATAAACTGATCTATTTCGTGGTTTGGTTCCAACAAAGTTGTCGCAGTTACATAACATATCTCTTTATAAGCTAGCCAACAGCTTATTGGTGAACAATGTATTTCAGTCGTTTAAAGAAACCACATTCTATCCAGTTTTTTATGTGTCTGTCTGAGATTTCTAAAGCCAAGAAGCTTACGTAGAATGTCAAGAACATAATTATCTAAGATATTCTGCTAGGTAATTTGTTTCCTTCTTCCCTAGGGTGTTCAAGGCGATCCAGGACCAAGAGGTTTGCCTGGAAATCAAGGCCCACCCGTTAGTATGAGTACATGATATTGAAACATTAGTTAGAATGAACATCTTTATAACAAACTTCAATTGAAAGACCACGAGAAGTTTAATAATAGGCTTCATATCAAAATAGGTTATTACTTTTGAAACAGTTTATGCGTCTATTTTATTAAAGATTAAAATCGTTTATTACTACTGAACTGCCCTACGTTAAAGAGCACTTTGGCACTCTATCCCTCTGTACTTAATGTTATGTTTAGTGGAGGAATTTCATGTTTGATTGACATTGCTGAATAAAAAGCAATAATAGCCAATCAGAGACGACGTTAAACAGTCCAAACCTCTTTGCACTTATCAGCAATTTATTGATGGGACTGACAACCTTTCTTAGGTCGAGCTTAAAAAAGGGGAGGGGCATTGCTTTTTCAATAGCACCCAAGTTTTTATTTCTATCAATGCTCATCACACCCTGTTGTCAATGCAGTTTAAGTAAATCCACAAGCACTCTTCATTGTATAATTGAAGTGTCTTAGTAAAATTGCTATTGCTTGTTCGTTTATAAACTTAAATAAACCTAACTTTCATTACAGGGCTCTGAAGGTAAAAAAGGACTTGATGGTATACCCGGAGGCGTTGGTGAAAGAGTGACTTTCATTACAGGGCTCTGAAGGTAAAAAAGGACTTGATGGTATACCCGGAGGCGTTGGTGAAAGAGTGAGTATAGTTTTCATTTGTTGCCCATGTGATTTATAACCTTACTAGATTTGCAGTTATTATCCAACAGCAAAGCTGAGGACGTGGAGATCAGGGAGAAATTATCAGTCCATGTTTCCTCAAAATTTATCCGTATGATTAATTTTTAAGAAATTTGGAATCCTAACATGAATAGGTATTTTATTCAATGCTAAGGAGCTTCTGCAAAAGGAAACAAAAGCAGCTCTTCTGTCATGATTTGAAAACTGCTGTCAGTGCTTTTCTTAATAATCACGAAAGCATGATGATTTCAGTCAGTTTTTCTAGCACATATAATTTCCTATTGTTTAAATTTGATTTTCCAAGCATTTCCTGTTAAGCATCGAAAATCAAAGCCTTTAGAGGTTTAGATCATATTAGAGTCTCTTTTTCAGTATTTTTTCCCCCAATTTTCAGGGCGAGAATGGTGAGCCTGGCCTAGTTGGAGAGAGGGGAGCAGCTGGTTTCCCGGTACGTGCTTATTAAATATCTTAATATTTGTTTTGTTGTTTCCTAGTATTTTATACAGCTTTGTTATTCAATTGCATTATAAAATTTTCTCTGTCTTTCGTTTTAGGGAAACACTGGATCCCCTGGCTTACCAGGACCAAAGGGGGAGCATGGAGATCCGGTAGTGGTTTCCCCCTTTTTCAATATACCTTTGAAATACCCAGCTTTGTGTTTATGTATTAATTTTTTGAGTCAAGTTATCACCAGAACTGGCTTAAATTAGCAAGATTAGAAGAGCTGTTAGGAGTATGTTTTGTACAAAGTCTCCATTTATCGCTTTTTCGAAAACCTTGTGGAAACATGCAACAAGAATGTCAACGCGGGGATGTAAAGGAGTGCAGTTCATTGAGTGAATAGCTCTTTTGCTTTTAATTATAGGTGTAAATAATAAAAGCTTGATCCAAACCCACTACGATGTTATCTTTATGATCTACCGGCTCTTGTTAAACTTACTCTTAGGTAGAAATTGTGTAAGACAAGATACAATGGCATTTAAGTGACATCATTTTTCTTTTTGATAAGGGTAAAAAAGGCAGCAAAGGCATCGTGGGTCAGACAGGCTTGCGTGGTTTGGTAAGTGTATTTGCCCCGGTGTGTTTATCCCGGTGTGTTTATCCCACATTGACTCTTACGCACCTCACTTTGAAGATCACACAAGTATCCCGGTGTGTTTGTCCCAAATTGACTCTTACGCACCTCACTTTGAAGATCAAGATCAACAAAACTTCGGCTTTCAGAGAGTGAATTTTTTATACAGACCATAAAAGAAGTTTGATCGTTGTTGTTACAGAAGGCCTTAGTTTGAGATAGTTGCCACACAAGTAGTTTGGCATTGACGTTTCTTTGACCTTATCAACAAAAATGAGGTCTTTTCTTCTCGCTGTTGCGATATCACAGCCAAAAAACCAAATTTAAGTAGTTTGTTTTACAAATTTATATTTGTTCTACAAGTTTAAGCTGTTTCATTTCCAGTAGCTGATATCTTGAAACTACGCACACAAATCCACAATTAGTTTTTACATTAATTTGGAGTCGCAAAAACATGAGGCTCTTTACAACTATCAGTGGCAAAACAGTTAAGATTTTTGCGATTGGTATGCTGGAGCTAATCAGAGTGGCTGTACCAAGTGCCCTGGTAAGGCCATCCAGCCAACTATCAGTTGCCATGATAAAAAAGAAAATGATATGAAGGGCTAGAACTCAAAAGACAAAACAACCATCTTACTTTCAGCTGCTACTTTGATGAAGTAAACCTATGTTTCTTCAGAAGGGTAATTTGGGGGGGAGCTGCCCATTGTATTCCGTCTCATTCAGTACTTCAAAATACGATTGAATATTTTAAATTATGTTATTTATTTGGCAAATGATTATGACATCAATCTTTTTCTAGTTATTCTTTCTTGTAAAACTTTTGTTACATGTTTCTTCATTCCAAACATTAAATAATTCAATTTGAAAAAGTACTCAGTAGAGATCATGATGGCTTTCGTTTACAGCCAGGTTCACCTGGACGTCGTGGCAAGCCCGGAGAACCTGGCGAGCAGGTAATTTGCTAAACAACTGTAAACTGTTGATATTGGAATATTTCATGTTACCCAATTGGAGTATTTTGACATCCTTCCTTTTATTTTACAAGAAATTACTATCTTATATCTAAAATAATATCTAAATAATATCCCTTTATTGTATCTTTTAATACTTTTTGTAACCACGCAATTATATAATTAGATCCAACACGCTTTCTACTCACTTTATAAAATTCTTTATGATATATAGTAATCTGTAGAAAACTGTTCTTTCCAAAATCTTTCCAAAAACTGAAACCTGAAAAGTACAGATACCTCTTAACAACGAACTCCTCCCAACAGATTTCTCCTAACAATGGATACCTCCCAATAACATACACCTTCAATTAACTGATATCCTCCAATAACAGATAACTCCCAGTAACGGATCCTCCCAATAAGGAACACCATCCATTAACTGTACAAGTAACCTCCATGCAACGGACATCGCTCTACAAACCTCTGTAATTCTGGTCACACCATTCTCCGCCACGAGGATATTTCATTGCTGAACATATTGGTAGATTTGAGCACTTTCATTGACGCCCTTTGAATCCAGAACAGGCAGTGAAAAAGCACACTGCTACAGTACCACAAAACCAATCGATTCTGCTTATCCTTCCAGGCAATCCAAGTTGCTATTTCTAAAGGATGATGGCTTATGATCAGTCTCAAATGATTGGTTTCTTCTAGACCAATGTGAATAGAACATCATGGCCAAATTCTCAATGGCTGTTAACACTCATTGGGACCTAGCTTTAATATTTTTTCAATTTTGCATTCAACAAATATCTATATTTGATGGTGCTGTTCTTGCAGTACGAAGAGTTATTTCCCCTTTACCTTTGTTGGGTATTATATCACAGCATTTATCAACTTCCAATTGAACATTTTTTCTCATGAGCAGCTCAAAATTAGGTCTCTTTTGATATAATGTTTATGTAAGAAGAATCTTTTCTCGGATTCAACCCGTTTACTTGCTTTCTTCAAGGGACACCCTGGGCTAAAAGGACGACGAGGACCAACTGGCAGTCGAGGAGAGCCTGTGAGTAGAAATAGCAATATAGAAACGATGTTAATATAGACTAAATACCTTTGATCATCTATCAAAATAAGTAAAAGTTTGGTGATGCAAAACTTTTTAAAAATTCATGCATAATTCATGCATTAGATACCGAATTAAATCTAAAAAACAAGGCTATGTATAAAAAGCACCTGATTGCTACCAACGCTTTGATATCGCTGTTTGAATTGAAGGGAAAAGTTGGGGAGCCCGGTCGGCAAGGTGAAATGGGTCTGCCTGGCATGCCTGTGAGTACACTACTACTTTCATTTTCTTAGCTTTGTGTGCATCTAATATTCAATAATGCAAACCTCGAAACGATCTGCGAATAATTTTCACATGCTTTTTCACTTTGTTTCTGTTTGAGTGTTTGATAGAAAATGACCAAAATTCCTTCCCTCACAAGGGTGAACATGGCGACTATGGAGAAAGAGGGCAAGCAGGAAAACCCGGTGATCCTGTAAGCTTTTGTTATTAATTGGAATATATTTCATTGCTCGTCACCATAACTCGTCTGGTGTTATGAAATCAAATGATGCTGCTTTATACTGTACCGGTTTATTCAAGTCTTTTCAATATTGTTACGTATGCAAGTGTATCATAGCTTTGCCATTGTTTTCGAAAGGCTAATGGATCTTCTCTCAAAAAGAGTCAACTTTTGATATTTTGATGCAGAGAGGAGTAATAAAGGAAGTTAATCCTATCATATGTATGCGCTATATGTATCCCCTTCAGAACGAAAACACTACCTATTTTTCCAGATAACCAAGTAGAATTACATTTCCCAAACGTAAAATGAGAATGATGAAGTGATAGTGCTGTCTGTCACTACGCATCTTATTTAAAAAGCCACCAGAACTAAGCATGATAGTTTTGTCAATCATCTCTCTGCGATTAGGTATTATATTCAACACTTAGTTTAAGTAACAGTATATCTTAATCTTACTTCAGGGAATCGATGGAAAAAATGGCGTTCCTGGAAAAAATGGCGCAGACGGCAAAAAGGTATTGACACTGCTGTGGACATCCACTAAATATTCTTTATACAAACATTGAGGCACCTTAAACTCCCGGCACATGTTATTTCTTCTAGCTCTTCTTTAAAGTTATTAGCAAAATATCACACTCGATTTGATGTTTATAAGCTATATTTTAATGCTTACAAGACCATTCTCTAACTGAATAGCGCATACTTTCAAACAACTTGAAAATTCCTTCTACCTTTTTGACATTCTAAAATTCACGAGAGTCGATGATTTTATTCAGAATTTACTAATGGTTAATCATTATATTTTAACACATTTAAAAAGTATGTTTTATTATGGTAATATTTTTCAACAGTTTGTTCAAAAATTTCCTTTGGTCTTAAATATCAATCCAAGATATTCAAATGAACCAACATTTTTTTATCATTTGACAATAGCTTTTACTTCTTTGGACCCAAAATATTTTCAACCATAAAGGATATTGGTATTTTCCTGGAAAGCATCAGAAAAGCGAAATACACGACCTGGTTATTCTGGTTCAACATGACCCAAAATAATGTTACAATTTGCATAGCGATGGATAATCCAATTGCCAACTTCATTTTACATTTGGTATTACTTCCTTGGCTGTTAATTGAATTTTTCTGCTTCGCTTTTTCGATGAACTTATTTTGTCTTTATTTTCTTAATATTCACTTTAATTTCTTTCAACAGGGTGAGGATGGTCCAAAAGGTTTTGTTGGGCTACAAGGCTTCAGAGGAAAGCCGGTACGTTATTATTTGAAGTGGCAACTTTAAGTTTAAAAGGATTAAACCACAAATTGATACTTTAAAAGGGAAACGGAGGCAAATGCCCATGGGCCTGTAAACAATGAGGGGCTGGCAGTTAATTAAACTGTCTCTATTTAAAACATGTCGCTTAATAATATGTTCATTACAAAACATATTTGTATTTAGAAAATTTGTCAATGGTTTACGAATATAAATTAAATAGAGATAATTTTATGCAATTTAAATCCATATAAAACACATTTTATTTTATTTTTTGAGTGGCAAGGGGCCTAAACATTATGCCAGTCCCAGGGCCCCGCGTGGCTTTCTGCGGCCCTAGAATATACCTTGCTTAAGCGCTTTTTAGACAAGTAATAGCAGATGACTGAATATAAAATATATTGTAATACAAATCTGCTTGTGCTTGAATCGTGATATATTTAGCTTGTAGAGTTTTAAATTTCCTAGAACAATTTTTTACTGAAATAGTTTATGCAGTTCACTCTTTGATTTTCATTGTCGTAGGGCAGAATGGGAAAACTTGGAAGAAAAGGACCTCATGGTAACCCAGGACTAAAGGTATTTATACTCCATTACGGCCTGGAAGAGAAGGAATATGCAGCGAGGAAGCTCGTTTTAGTTAAATCAATCATCAAATTTAGCAACTTAAAAGTTTAACAATTAATAAACGCTATTTTCTGTTATAGTCATTTACTTTATGATCCAACAGAATTGCTGGTATGAGTTTAGGTAGCTTGGCAAAAATTTAGATTAACCTGTACATTCCATAGTATATTTATCTTTTAGGGTTATCCTGGAAGACACGGGGAGCCAGGAAGAAACGGCTCCATAGGGGATCCAGGAATAGCTGGTGCTAGGGGATTCCCCGGGGCAAGTGGCGATCCTGGACCATCGGTATGTGCTAGTAGTTCTTTGCCAGATGCTTAAATTTGTTCAAGATGTTCTTTTTTTCATTGCCCTTCTGCTTGCTAATGCTGATTATTTCGAAAAGCGCTTGTAGGGTAGTGTAGAGGTAAATTCCCGCGTCCTACATTTATTCTTTGTTTATTTTTTTATAACCCAAGTCTCAAAGACCTGCAGTAAAAAATGATGGACAGTTAACCAAAACAAAGTTAACCAAATATTTGGTTTAATTACTCTATTTCATTTCCCTTTCCTTTATCACTTTGTTTCGCTTTTTCAAGTCAAATTTATTGTATTTTCATTGTTTATTCTATGTTTCAGGGTATGCCAGGACTACCGGGGAGGAATGGTACGGACGGAAAAGATGGACCAAAAGTAAGCGTTCTTAAGACGAATAGAGATAAAGAGTTTTGTTGCAAAAAACTTCACATTGTGATTAACAGTCAACCAGATTATACTATGTTTGTGTTTCAGTTTCCTTTGTCTATACCTTCTTTGTGAATGTTTGAATATAGCCTAGTAAAACAACAACCACGGTCTGTCAAAAGCCCCTTTTTAAGGCTGCACGACAAAACTAGAGAACGAAGCCTCCTCCGGTAAGGAGGGGAGAAACCACTGGTAAACTTTCAGACAATATAGGCAGCATGAATTCCATCTTTGCAAAATATAAATGAAATGAGTTGATCTTAAATTCTTAAATTTGTCTTTTAATGCCAATTTCATGCCTGCTTTGTTGCTTTTCTTTGTTTTCTCTTTCCCTTCTTAAAACAAATACCTTTGCATTCCTTTGTCAAATGTGCACCTTAGGGTAATCTTAAAATTCTGCACTTCTTCCAAGGGAATAAGGGGTAACAGAGGACCGATGGGAAGTTATGGTATTCCTGGAATGGAAGGAGCAAGAGGTACAGATGGACCAAAAGGGCAAAAAGGACGTCAAGGAGGAACAGTGAGTGTGTTTTGCTATGTTGCCAATAGTGCTCATAGAATTCTGGTAGCGATGATTGGATGATTGGGTCACAGGGGTGTAATAATAAAAAATGTTCCTGCTATTTTATAAAGACTTTTTGAATAATTCCTATAGTGAAGCCTGTTATGTTAGTTATGATTTTTACTGCAATAAACATCGCACTGTTTTCATTTTGCAAGGGTTGGCCAGGAGAATTCGGAATGCCTGGATTGCGAGGGCTGCCTGGATCTCCAGTAAGTAGTCTAAAAATTTTCATACACCTTCAATATGGCCCTCTTTCTTTTTCTGTTCTTGATCCTCTTTCTCCGTCCAAGGAGTAATTTTCTCTTTTTTACAAGATGAGATTTCTTCCCGAATAATCCTATTGTGTCTCAATATGTGTTTCCTTTTTGATCAGGAAAACTTTGTTGATTTAGAGCCGCAACTGGCCAATAAGACAGTCCATTGTGTTGGAACATCTTGGCAAATCGTTTGCCACGCCTTTGCCATTAGTGATGTATACGTTGCAGTTCCATCACTTATTCTGACTTAATCCCCAGTTAGTCTTTGATGTCTATTGTTGAGACAATTAAAACTTCGAATATTTCAAACTTTTAAGATTCCATGTTGTATAACATTAAGCAGAAGATATCCATCACAATAAATACCAGAAGGAGCAATACGTTTGCTGTTTTTTTTATAGACCATATTATTTTCTTTATTGCACTTACTATGCCGTTCTTTTATATCTCTTCAAAAAACTTTTCCTGCATATTCAAAGTTTGAATAGTGATCTATAACAAATCAAAACCTCATTTCTGTTTAAATTGAGGTTTTTTATGACAGGGCAAGCCAGGTCCTAAAGGCGAAATGGGCTACAATGGGACCCAAGGAATGAAGGTATTGTTTTGATCACTTTTGCTCTGATAAAGCCCTGTATGCCGGGGCGAAATATTAGCCTTCATTAATTTACGTGCCTCTATTGTTGTTCATTCTCATCGCATTGCGGTGTTTCTTATTTGCTACATTTTCATCGATTTTTGACCGCAAGAACTCCTTGGAGTCCGTCGAGCAGACTGCTATCGTGACCTTTCCTTTATTCACACATTGTTTTGTAGACACTATAAAGAGGGTAAATTTTTTTGTAATGTAAATGTGATTCTTCTGCTCAGACAGACAGGTTCTAAACAGCGTAACAATGTTCTTAAATTTTGCAGGGAGAGAAAGGTGCCCGAGGTGCTGACGGAGTACCTGGCAGTGCAGGAGATTTTGTAAGGATTGCTTTTATCTCTAGTGCACAAAACTACACTTTGACTTGAATTTTGTGATCAGCATTTTGTTTGGTGTTCTATCAATGGCAACAGAATATATTTAAGAGTCGACAAAGTTTTGATTTTATAAATATACCTTTATTTTAAATGATGTTCAATAATGCTTGTAGCTGGTGGTGTTCTGTAAACATGCTGACTCGGGGGTGCTTTGAGCGCACTGAAAATGTAGATGTCGCAGGGAAAACATAGAAAGAGGGAACACTGTACCAAGCTAATCTACAGTCATGTTATTTTATTCATCCTGTCGACTCCCGCAGTGTACAGTGATTTATTTTCGCCTGTTAATTGAGTTCTACAGCAGTTTCTGGGCACTTTGATATTAGTTTTGTTGTATCTTTAAATTTGACTTATCTTTGTTCCTAGGGTGATCAAGGAAATAAAGGTCGAATGGGAGCTGAAGGAGACCCGGGAAGGCCGGTAAGATCATAGTTTCAAATTACATGAGCCAATGCTTAGCCATTTCTATTTCACCCTCTCCTGGGTCAGCTGCTACGAATCTCTGGTTTCATCTGAATAAGCAAATTACGTTTATTTTATTCAAGGCGATAAACACATCATAGTAAATCAGCCCAGAATGTTTGTTTGAAGGTATTAAAATTATTTTCCACAAGATAGACATAAGGCAACCTTTGACCTAATAATATTGTTAAATTACATGGCTGTTTCTCATAAAGTATTGTTCCTGTGCCATTTTTATACACATTTGCATAGCTCGTTTCTGGCAGCTTACCTTTGTTTTGGCAAAAATTACTTCCCTAGCAATTTCATTGAAAAAGCAACACAAATTTGGCCTAGATAATCATTTGGATAGAAAGGTAGGAAAGCTTTCTAGGATGAATTGTTTATTAATTCTAGGGATCGAGAGGCAGACGTGGTGAACCTGGCCCGACAGGAAGAAAAGGCCGACCGGTAAGTATATGTGTAAAAATTATATGTACTTTGTCATCATTCTACTTTGTCAACACTTTATTATAAAGCAAAATTTGTTCTTGATATATGTGTTCATTGAATGACTTTTTTGCCACTGTCTCTCTAACGTCATGTCACTGTTTCGATCAAAATTAATTATAGATTTCTTTCAGGGTCCTGAAGGAAGAACTGGGCGTGATGGCAGTTCGGTATGTAGCCAAAAACAGTACCAAATTTCAATGTTCCTTTTAAGTCGTCTTTTTACAAATACGTAACGTTAAATCTTCGGCACCTGCTTCAGCGTAGATTGTGTGATCAACATTAGGCATTGTTTAGCACTTTTCATTTGTCAGTCATCAGCTATTTCCACTTATAACCTTGTAACCTTTAAATTATTTCCACTTACTATGGTACCTATTTTATGCTCACTTACAGATTGCTTCTGTCTTTGCTTAAAGATGAAAATCTTTCTATAAAGTGCTTCTATATTAGTTAGGTGGAAGATTCTTCTTATTGTTAACATCACGGATATTGACAAATAGATTATAGGCATTGAGTCCTCATAAAGAGAGAGGGTCTACCCAAATGCACCGAGTCTGATTCTCGTGCTGCAATACTGCTGGTCGACCTTAGACTGATCACATGAAGTTCCTTGTACTGATTTTGAAAATAGGCTTCGTTAAAGGCCAGTATAAGCAAGTATAAGCAATGGTTGTCAAAATCACATGAAGCTACAGTGATCACACCGATAGAGAATGATTTTCTGCAGAAAACACCTACTTACCATGACTCAATGCCTTCGATACCCCGAATCTTGCTTTACCTTATTTTATCATATCTTTTGTTCCATCATTCTAGGGGAAAAGAGGACCATCGGTAATTATGACTCTCGAAACTTTCATATTGTTCATTTATTCAAGATTTTCCATTTTACAGTCAGATATGACCTGTCCAATAATTATGCTACTAGATTTTGCCATGTTCGCATCAAACTTTCCATAAGCAGAATGTTCGTTTCTTTCTCAAAAAATAATGTTCTTCTTTGATTAGATTGACTCCACTTGGTAATAACTATTTACTGGTCCATTTGCCAATAGTATATCGAAGTGTGAAGCAATCAGATATCTTTTTTAGATTTTCTTAAATTTGACCACATGATCTGAGAGAACAGCATAAAATACCTCTTAATATGCAAAATCAGTTAGATATGTTCAAAATTGGGCGAGATATGGCCAATGAAAAATTTAACGGAATGCTGTTATCCTGGCCTGGTTCATAAAGTTATAAACCAAGACCAAACTCACAGAGGTTTGATGTGACAGGAGCCAACCCCTCAAATCGTGCTCATGTGGCCATTTCTCAGTCTATTCGTCGTGTATTTAACTGATATTGCATATTTAGAGGTATTTCATGATGCTCTTTCAGGTTCTGGGATAAAAATTCGAAAATTCTAAAAGTGCATTTTTATGACATCATCACACTAGTACTCTATGTCAAGTGACCTCTAAGTAGGGCGTCAATAAATGATCATTACCAATTTTAGCTTTAATACACTTCAGAAATTTTCAAGATTTGAACTAAAGAATCTTTATTCCTCTAGCTAACTGAAAAACTGTTGTATGTTGAAATAGAGAGTTTGATCCTCGAATGTATTTCATGCAAACTTTAGTTCCTAATCTTCCATGTGTTTTATTAAAGACTGATTACATTTCATTGTATTTATTCAACAGGGAACTCCTGGAAAAATAGTACGTGGTTTCTTATTATAGTTGTTGATATCCATCCAAATTTTATACCCATCATTGCTAATAAAACCATGTTTGTGATGGAATCAAAATATATAGAAATAGATTGTTCTACGTTTTGTATCTTGCATTACAGAACGATTTTATGGTCAGTGCTAAAGACATTGTTATTCTTAATATTTTTATGCTGTGTATGATTTTGTTTCGTTAGTTATACATATACAACAAGATGATTGTGAATGTGAAATCCAGCTATTTTTGTAAAATATTCAAATTAAATTTTATAGAACATAAACTGGCCTTCTATCAAATTTTTACCAAAGCTAAATTTTAGCTTTCCCAAGTATATATTCATTCTTAGGTTTGGTAGCTTTAGAGTTAAGATCTTTCTTCGGCGATGACTCAGGCCACCTAACAGTAGAACATAATGTTTCCGAAACTTTGTGCTGTCGTTTCATTCAATCGATGTTTTTCTCTTAGGGAACTCCAGGACCGCCAGGACCACCAGGCCCTCCTGGCATACCAGTATGTCTTTCAAATTACAATAATTCTTTAGTTCGATAAAAATAAATTGAAATTAGATTTTGATGACTGCTCCAAGACCCGCGTCACAGATTCTAATCTGGGGGCAGCAATGTCCACTCCCCCTAGCTCTATATGTCTGAAAATTTTTGTTGACGCTGTTTTACTTTTGGATTCTGGTTCGGTGTATTTTTCTTAAAAATGAGTTACCAATACACATTTTTGGGCTCATTTAAAGTTTTTTATTAAGAAAAAAAGATGGAGAGATGTCTCTTACTTAGCCCATTGTGGTGCATGCCCTGAGTATTGCATAGGCCATACAATCAAAGATAGACAAAAGCAAAACACAACGTGGATCTAAGGAATGGATCCAGCCATCGTCCTTGCCTACTAGCCATCGTGAACAAATCTTCTGCATGTCATATAGCAAGTGTTTTGGCTCAACAAATAAATAGATATCAATGCCGAAGATTCGTTTCAAAAAGATAAAAGCAAAACACAACATGGATCTATTAAAACAATTTTCTTATTGTTGTAAAAGCTGATCAGCAGCCTTGAGGGCATCAATGCTGTCTAGACAGCGTATCCATAATTTTCACCGAAATAAATAATTTTCGTAGCACCCTTTATTTTGTCGTTGCAGAGTGGATATTATGGAATGTTTGGATATGGAATGTGGGTAAGCGAGCTATTTCGATTATTGTAATGTCGATTGAATTCAAGTGTTTTAATTCAATATTTAGGCGTTCGATCAATGTTTCTAGTGTTTTGTAAACTGGCCTCGTAAATTTTGATCCCCGGGTGAAATGACAGAAAAGCAAGTCGAACATTTGATTATTGCAATTTGAATTGATCTTTTCAGCAAAATGGAGGACAAAAGAAGGCTGGTGGTTATCAAGTAAGGTTTTAAATAATGCGTTTGGTCCAAGCAGCAAAAATCTTCCTCAATCCAAACGGCAAAAATTTTGTTTTGCATCTTTAGAATCCGTATATATTCCGTGTATTAAATTGCTCCCTGATTATACCTTTTATCAAACTAAATATGTAGCAGTTGCTCTTAACATGCACATTGCACTTTAGCACATTTTATGATCAAATCTATTAAACAAAAAGCCCAATTTTTTTCAAAAGTAACCCGTTAGCACTTTCTTGAAGATTCAGGTAAGGGGAATTCACATTAAATACAAAGTCTCTTGTTGTTCCTTGTTGTTCCAGAACTAAGAGATAGCTTAGAACTTTGTAAACTCAGAAGGACGGGCTCATAAAAACAAGTGTGGGCTGCAAAGGCAACCCATTAAAAGTGAAAAGATAAAAAACACCCTAAAAAGATATATCAGTCAAAACGTGGTCAGACGAACAATTTTAAAAACTGTAGAGACCGAAAAAGCAGACAATGTGTTCTGAGTAGTAAGAATTTACATTATTTCAGTGATAAATAAATATAATGGTGGAAAACTGTGGTTCGTTATCTAGATGTGTTCTAGGGATGTGTTCTAACAAAGCAGTGTGCGTAATCCAGCTAATCTCGATGATCAATTAGATAAAAGAAATCAAGATATAGATAAACGTTCTATTTTGTAGCCATATCCATATTATGGAGGATATCAACCAGTGGTATGTCACTTTTTCGTTCTTAGAAGAAGGTTTGACTGTACCAGATAATGGTCCTCAAACTGGTGTCTGGGAGCGGTAACACGTCATTGTATTACAAATAGGAATTTAAGAGAGCGTTCAGTTGATTTATCGTTGGAGATTGAGTTATTCGTCGAGTGCAGAAACTTGTTTTTTCGCCAAAATGTGTGCGTGATCTAGACGCTATTCAAAATCCGTGTGCTTGACAACAAGCTTCTTCTCCTGTATTTATTTGCAAATTTTCAAGATTAGTTGTGTTAAAGTTTGAGGATAATGGTAACACAACCTTTCCTTGTAATGATTTTTTAAATAGTTGTCACATTACAAACCACGTAAGAAAGACAGTTAATCCTCTATTGTCGTAGCCCTATTCTTGGGATCTTTACACGTAATATGCAAAAACCAAGTAAGTCTTTAATTCCTGAAATTAAAAAGCATTAAAACCGCTTATGGTTAAAAAATTGGCCTGAAAAGTATCAAATACTTTTGGATCTTTCATCACAGTTTAGTGCAACTTGGAACAATTTTATAAGCCAAACTTAAGCATCAATTTTCAAAAACCTAAATTACACTGCACTGCACTTACAATGCACTATGCAATCTGCACTTTGCACTCTGCACTCTGCACTCTGTTCTAACGAATATACGTCGACATTTAATTAATAGATTCTATGGTATTAATGTTTATAGCAAAAGTGTATCATTTTTGGTCTCATAAAGAAATAATCTTAAAACTTGTTTTTAAATTTTAAAACTTGTAACGAAATAATCGATCTCAAAGCCTTGTTTTTGTAAATACACGGCAATGTCATTGCTGTTACTTTATGTCATACTTTACCTTAAATATCCTCGCCAAAATTATTTCATTATTTTCACTCTTGGTAGCTTGATTCCTTACGATATCTTTATTCCTGTCCCCCACAGCAATGGCGACCCGTTCAGCGAGACGTCAAGAAATCTCATGGACAGTTTCAATCGAGACACCAGTTTTACCGCAGTAGTTTGAATTTAACAGATGTAAGCCTCCTTTCTTTGTGGTATCATGACATTTTCTAAAAGACAATTTTGAAAATACAATTTCTTATGCTATCATATTTGTATAATTCTTCTATGATATAGGTACACTTCAAACGTTACTTCATCCCCTATTATTTTGTTTCTAGGATGCAGAGATCGACGATCTTATAAAACGGGTAATGTATTTTTTCTTAAAGAAGTCGAATTCAGTATAGTCTTCCTCTACCGCTACATCAGACAGAAGGGAAAGGGGCAGCGTCATACTTCATCTTCAAAGAAAACCAGTCTATCTGAAAATTATTTCCAATTTATGTGTCTGCTATTTCCCTATCAACTTTTTTAGAAATTCGATTTTAATTAGCTTTCTTTCAAGCTTTTAAGAATGTTTCGGTCGCCACTATATGACGTTTGAAAATAGAGACCGTAACCTCTAAGTGATTTAAACTTTTGAGTTTGGACAATATAGCCGAAAGGAACCATTATGGAATACCACTAAATGCGTGAATTAATTAAATTTGTTAAAAATTGGCCACAAATTGGCAAGAGATATGGTCTCATTTGCACGGGCTCGTTCCCAATCAAATCACCGAACTTTGGTTTTTGTTCCATAATCTATGAACAATGCCAAAACAACGATATATCTCAATCAATTTGCAATATTTTTAATTAATTCTATTTTTTAGAGATATTTTAGTGATTTATACGTAGTGTTTTTTTAGATTATGTGGTAAAAGTAAAACTTTATAAGAATAACTTTTCGATTATGTCAGGCTTTGGTATATGCTCACTTGTAGGTAGATCTTGTTTATATGAATTTCGCAATGCTGGAAATTCATCAGTGAATTGATTATTTCGCAGGATGATGAAACAGAGAAGAGCTTTCACGAGGTTTACAGTCGATTCATTGATCTTCACAGAAAACCAGGGAGTGTCAGAAAGCCAGCCAGAACGTGCAAAGACCTTTTTATGAATGAGCTTGAGTTGCCTTCAGGTATCTATCCTTTGAACATACCCTTTATACCTATTCTTTGCATTTATTTTTTCTTGCTGTTTAGAACGTAAGGCACAATTTATTTCAGTCAAAGCAACGCCCACTGCTTCAAATATTAAGCATAGAAAACCTATTTGCTTTGCGGTTCATTTGCAAAATGAGGCAAAGTTATTAGATTCTTCATTCTTCCGTAGCAGTCCACATCACAACTCTGTTATTAATTCTACTTTAATAGCTCGGTTGCTCAAACTCATTTGAAAACAAGATATGGTCTTTCTAGAGATTTCTTGTCCGTAGGAAATACATTTTGAATTTATTGGAATTTTTTTACGTTGCTTTTATGAGATTAAGTTTCTAATAACCTCCATAAGGATAGACTTTCAAAAATTCTAACATGCCCTAAAGTTTTTAAAATGCATTTTAACCATGCTTACAATTTTAAGGTGACTATTGGATCGATCCAAATGAGGGCTCCCCAAGAGATGCTGTCTTGGTATTCTGCAATAAAACATCAATGGAGACATGCATTTATGCAAAAAATCCACAGGTATCATTTTAGAAAGCGTTTGATTTGACTCTGAATCAGTATAATTAGACAATGCTACAATGAGCGTTTTTCACAGACAACATTTTATGAGATGCTGAATTTGCTTTAAATTACTTTTCAGCCATGATTTTACACAAAAATGCATTCCCCGATGCAGTGAATAGCCTTTGTTGAACTTGCACGTTTAGACAACTATTCTTTCATTATCCAGACATTATCTGAAGGTCACCAAAGCATTATTTGACCACTGATTTGGGTACTGTCTTTACTTCAAAGTGCCACCTCTTTCTTCTGGCTGTTTGCTTTCCCCTTTTTTTGAAAAATAAAAAATAATTTCCAAAAATTCAAAGTCCATTCAGTCTCCCTAGATATTTCCCAATCAACAAAGCTGTTTTGTATTCCCGGATAACTTGAACTTTGACTAAGACGAAGTGACTTTCCATTTCCAATGGATTTTTATACCAAATCTTTATGTAAATTGTACCCTTACATTCGCTATGTCGGACGATTTCATTACCCCCTTGAACGATTCACCTGGAATCCCTCACATTACCTTTAACAATTATAAATTTTGTAGAAAGGCAGAATAAATTTCATGTTTACAAAATTGCTAATTCTGATCTTGCCAATTAATGACAAGCCGAACCATATTAACTGCATGTCAAAAATTTGTTCACGCCTTAAAATCTACCGATCAAGAAAATCTCGGACAGTTAGAAAAAGTTATCATTTAATATGGTTCATTTCCGGTGCAAATTCTAGTTCCTCTCAGTTAACAGTTCCTTAACAAGCAAATTTATTCAACAAGCAACAACAACTATAACAGGTTATGCATTCAAACAAAGTACCAGTTATAAAGAGATACTCAAACGACGAGCTCTCTCGTTAGATAAATAGATCGAGGAGAGAGCGCTACTCAAATTTCCAGTAGTGAAATTATGTACTACAAATACTTACTCTGGCAGTTTTCTTTTTGCTTAATTTTGATCCGTTATGATCACCCTGTTAAGTATTATAATAATTTGCTAATTACTATCACTCAATTTGCTAAATTATTATATTCGATCCTTTATTTAGATTGAGCAAGACCAGTGGTTAACTGGTAAGGATCAGTACGTATGGCTGATGAAAGATTTATACTTTTCTCCTGAGGGCGTACGTTGCTATTGCTTCTTTTATTCTTATCATTTTATTCAATTCCTTTAAACATATATTTATATGTCTTCTTTGCAAACATATCTTTGTGAAAGCATCGCGTACAAGAACAGAATATACATTGGAAATTTTTGCATAATCAATTTTAAGGTGTGGTATCCTCTTGGCATATATTTTATTTGGCGTTTGTTTTTAAACTTCATGGAAGATGCCTGAATGCAAGGAAAGGAAAGAATTTGCAATGATATTTCATCCCGTGTGAATAAAGCAAAGGCATTCAGTGCAGCATGCATTTGGTCTATGCGAGTCTCTGCTCTTTATCTATGTACTATGCTTGATGCTTTAGTCAGGTTTTGCCTTGTATGCCTTAAATGATGTCTTATGTGCCTTTAAGTCTCCTTTATACATACGCAACATATACCAGTTGCTACAAAGATCAGAATACGTCCAATTTGTTTTTAGTTCCAATACGCAGCAGACGTGTACCAAATGAAAATGATGAGATTGTTAAGTAACCGAGCAAGGCAAAATGTCACATATCTGTGCAAGAACTCTATCGCATGGTCGAACGAGGAGAACATTATTCATGACCGAACAATCAAGGTTCTCACAGACGATGAAGTTGAGTTACATGGCAATGCAAGGGATACTGGGATTTTCCTCGACGTCAAAAAGGACGAATGCAAGGTGATTAGATGCCACAGAAAATTCAAATTACTAATAAGATTCGTGCGTAAAACTTTAACAATCAGATTTTCTTAAAGAAAACTTTGGTATTTTTCCTTATCATTACTTCATCTCCCTGAAATTTGTTTTTTAAAATTTGGTATATCTTAAATTTATCTTTCTTTTTGTTCCTTTTCTATTATCCTACTTATTGTTATTTATATCAATTTATAAAAACATCAAGATCTCTTTTTAAACCTTGCGACTTCCTTAACTTTTTCATTTTATTGTTAATTTTTGAACAGTTTTGCCTGAATTTATACTTAATTGCAGTAATGTAGCACCCTTGAGAATTCAGTATTTTCCTTTTGAAAAATTTTCCATCTCAAATCAGTTTTGAAATTCTTAAAACTCCTCTCATCTTCCAGGATAAAAACGGCAAGTCGGGAGAAAGTGTATTTGATATCAATACAGACAAAACTGAGCACCTGCCTATTCTGGATTTTGCCGCTTTCGGTGATGGTGAAGGCAGCGAAGAATTTGGACTATTGCTTGGCCCTGTTTGCTTCTCATAACAATGACAAAATATCTTGTTATTGATTGTTGGGAATTTGGATGGCTTCGAAAATACTACTTTATTCATTGGGAGGCTATTCTAAGCACCATTGCATTGTCAAAATAGTTTTCATTAAGCGGAAAAACATTTGAATTTTTGGGTTTTAAGGGTAATAGTAATTTTAGTATGTTGCAACCATAGGCCTTCTCAGTAAGATTATTGGAACATTTTGATATTTTGATATAAATTTTCTCGCAGTCCTTTTTACCAGTATCTTATTCTGCGACAAAGAATGAACATGATAAAGAATTTCTGCTCTGGTATCTATTTCGCAAAAACTGAGTTTGTTATTGGTCAAAACTAGCCGATATAATCGAGGTTTTGCGACTTATCGGTCGTATTTGAACGAATATTATAGATAAAATGATATCTGCATTTAGATGACTTCAAAGATCTTTTCGGTCAACTTCTCTATTGTAACAGCTTTTGATTCATATAAAACACTGGTTTAATGAAAACGTTGAGATGGAACAAAGGAGCGAAAACGTCTTGTCTGTTTTATTAAATGTGAAAACTGTAATTTTAAAGACAGAATTTGTAATACGCATGCATTTTCCTTGCAATTATACGAAAACCCTCTCCGCGCTTATCTTGGTTAGATTTCAAAATAAATCCTGTTTACTTCGCTTTGAGGTTTCATTGTTGGTTTAACGGATTCCATGAGGATTCGATTATTAGCCGCTTATTCTCCGTTATCTTTTCTTTTCAACAAAATACTGCTATCTTGGCCGTTTGATTACCACACAACGCCCAAAAACACAGTTTAAGATTATTCCTTATAATTGTTGTTTTAATCTGCCACTCAGTTATTGATATGCCTGTTACCGTCGAAAACCAACAGCTTAGATCAGCGATAAGACCCTTGGAAAGGCCTGAATTCGAGGGAAAAAGTACCAACTTATTGCCGGATAATATTACTCTACCTGTGCGGAAACTCCACAAAAGTTTCTTGAAATTTTCCGACCTTGTCATTGAACGGATTAAATCCAATCTTATTGTGCATCGTCTTGTTTGGTTCATTCTGAACCCTGTAATATAAAAATCCTAATGTACGTTTAAAAGAAGCATACTGGTACTTTGTGATTCAGCGAATTTAAAGCTCTGCAAACCAAGTAAGTGTTGGTACTGTGATGAAAAATGTATAATTTAAACTTCCTCGGAGTATATAATTTGCTCTTGGTAGGCCTACGAGTAATGAGTTGATAACTATTCGGGTTAGTTTCATCAGCACATGATTACATTTGTCACAAAAAAAGTTTTCTGGTGACAGCCCTAAAAACTAATTTGATAGAATATGTATCAAGTCTACCTTAGCTAGAACTATAAATCCACAATTTTTGTATGATGACAATCAAAGTTACTCAGCCCAGTTTTCTTTACATTAATTGTATTGTCCAGTCATAACTGAAATATTGGTTGTTTGACTGTAATGCCTTGGAGGTTTTGGGTCAACTTTGTTTGGAACAAATAAGAATAGATACACGATACGCTGGGGCAATCTCTCAGAACTCGAACGTTTTAAAAGCAGTCTGTCCCTTATTGTGCTCAACTTTATTTTCACGGGAGTGAAATTCATGCACCGTTGAGCTTGATCGATAATTAAACGATTTAAACCAATCAGAGACAACATGGATTCCAGAGCTTTTGAATCAAATGGCTGTGTTCCCGTTGAAGTGAAGCTATGGCTAGAAAAATTGTGTTCCCTGGTTGGTTTTTGCGACAGATATGTCAAAAGCGAAAGGAAATGCTTCCGTTATCATCAGTCAATTCCAGTAATTAAATCATTTTGCCATTACCGATATCTTTTTGCTCGCAGATTTAAATGTCGTCCACTACCGCAGCTAGGCCAGCCAATCCATTAAGGCGGGAAGACCTATTGTTCATATTAGCCAATCATTGAGGGGACAGACTGCCTTTAAATCGTCAAGAGGATAAAGTATCAACGCGTTGATTCCTTTGTGACTTTGAAAATGCTTAAACACAACAAAAGCTTTGCGTTGAATTTTGAAAGTGGTTAATGATAAGAAGAATCCTTTGTTTTATTAAATACGTTAGAGATTTGCAGCAATGCTGAATTTTAAATCTGTCTTCCTTTGTTTTTGCACCAGACAAGTTAAAGGTTGGTCTAATTTTTCTCGGAGCTTTAAACAGTTCCATTGCCGCTTTACACCACACGTTGATAGAAAGCATAGTGTCGATGATGTTTCCCTCTAGCAAGAGCCTGAAAGATTCACCTGCATCAACCATGTGATATGCAAGGTAAGATAAATGCTAGTTCATTCGAGTTGATATGGTCCAAATTCATTACGATTCGCACTTCAGCAATCAATCATTTTCAATCCTCTGAATGGAGGTTCAACTGAGTTGCTAATAAAAGTAGACTGATTTGTTTGAAATTTTTAAAGACTCTAAAACAACGATTAGACCTTTATCTTAGGAATAAGCATGGTTTAATTCTGAAATTGTCCCGAGTGAATGTATTTTTCACTGGCCAAAGGATTGTTGGTTTAGTCAAATGAGCTCGCAAATCAACATTGAAAAGTTTGGTTAGATCCAAAACTTAAATTACGGAAATTAATACAATCAGTGCGAGATGTACATGACAAGTTTGGAAATAATATGAAAAAGAAGAAAGAATAGGATACTTACATTTGGGTTTTAAAAAATCAACAGAAGGATATGGACAGCTTCGACTCTCTGAACTGTCTAGCAATCACTTCTCAGAACCTTCAGATATCAGTATAAGTTGCCAATACGGCAACTAGGAACGGCAACTAAGATTTGGGGCAGTTTTAAAGACAAAGTTATGAACAAGCTTTTTCAAAGCTTTAAATTACCTTTGATAGATAAGACGCATTTCAATGCTATGTACAAACCATATTTACAACAAAATATTAATTAAAAAGCCCTCTTAAAAAATCTTTAATGAGGCTGGATTAAACGACCAGCGTGTGCTTTGTTGAATATTTACAAAATCGTATCAAGGTCGCATTACAGAAGTAAACCTACTTGTGTACCTTAAAATTATATACATTTTTTTGTCCAACAACGCGCGCATTCAAGCATTACCTACTAGTGGCCTGTTAGTGTGGTTGCTATGATACGGGGCTGACTTATAACAGGGGACAACGTCTAACTAACATGCAACCATGGGACTTGAATATTAAGTATTCACTCATCTTGTAAAACAATTAAATTCTGACTTTTTACTGTACTAGCTAAGGGGGTATTGCCGCTTCTTCCCTAGCGGTGATTAGCTAGTTATTCAAATAGCAACTTGAATTTTGACCCTTTGTCAAGCCTATGCTCCGTAGGCTTTTACGACTGCCCGTAATGCCATTCGACTTTCTCGGTGCTCTCACTCCAAACCACTTTTTAAATGGCTGTACAATGACAGCAGCAAACCCAAAATCATATAGTTCTCGGTGACAGGTACCCGTCGTCTTTCCACGATCCTTCGTCTTGGATCTCAAGATTCTCGTCAAAGTCACAATCGGTTTGCAGACTAAATCGAACTTCTTTCAGCTCCTTGTTTGACATTTGAAAATTGAGCTCCTGCATTTCTAGCGTCTCCTCTACGCAATTCGCCGCTTCTGAAGAGCGATTGTGGAGACTGGACAGGGTGTCGTCTTCCCGGTGCAGTTGCCTTTGATCAGAGAATGAGCCGCTGTGGCGAATCAGTCGCTGAGTGGCTGCTTTCCTCGTTTTGTAGCATGTATACAATGCAACGACTATCAAGAATATAAATACACATATGGCTATCGGAGCCAGAACAACTACAGCAACCGGCAAGTTCAGCTTATCCATTTTCGCCGTCTCCGTTTTTGTTTTCTTGGCCAAATCTATTTTGAATTAATTATTATTCCTTTAAGCAATACTTCATAATCTTGTAGGTATACTGAAAAGTATATTTAGATTTTCTTCGAGCTGCATTTAAAAGCAGCATGCTAACGATAGTGCTTGTAAACAGGATCGAAATAGTTAAATGAAGCCGAGTATCTCCTACCAGCCTTTGTAGATACACCTGATAATTGGTCTCCAAATTGTTGCATTGCAATCGTAGCCACTGCAAATATTTGTTAATTAAACTATCGCCCTAAACGAAATCAATATGGTCACCAGAAATATATACAATAAGCAGTAAAAATATTTTGCTATCTAGAATACATACCATTGCATTTTCCCTGGCGCATAAAGAGACCAGAGTCACAATCACATTTGTATGTTCCAGGTAGATTTATACACGTTTGGTTTGGCCCAGTACAGGTGTGGGCTCCAGCTAGGCATTCATCTTCATCTAAAACAGAAAAAGCTGAGCGTGAATGCTTTCACTTCTGAAGAAATCTCAGTTATCCATTCCCATTATCCTAGATTTCGATGTAATTAGCACTTTAAACCGAAAATTCAAGTTTCATCAATAATTCAAAAATGTTTTTATCCAATAGGTTGCTGAAAAATTAATCGAATCTCCATTGATTTACCTTATGCCAGTGCTTGTTTAATGAATTTCGAAGTAAAATGTTACGTGTTTAAATATTGAAAAAAGTAGAAAAATAATTGCATTGAGGAATTGAAAATAAGCAGTTTGCTGACCATAAAATCCAATTTTCACAGGTTTCGACATTATTATTGTCCCAGATGCCATAGTCTCGCAATAGTATTCACCAGATTCATGAAGTTGACCATCGATTTTGATAACAGGACTGTAACTTGACTGTGCCAGCTAAAATGATTTGAAGTTACTCAGCACAACCAATAAACGCTTACAAATTGAAAAGTAAAAGCTCCACGGCTTTATGGACACTTATCTTATGTAAATTTATTTTCCTTAATTTTGAAATATTTCTTTTCATCATTCAAAAATATCACGAGTTCAGAAATTTGGTTGCTAAGTTTTTCCTACACAAAAGAATGCAAGATCGTGGTATTCTGTGTGAAAATGATAGGCACCTAAAAGCACTTGGACAGTTTGTCCGTTGTATCAGCTATGATCGCAACGATCTAGGGTGTTCCTTTCAGGAGCCTTTAAATATCATGCTTACATTTCCATTCCTGAACCAGTTGTAAATTATTTTGTCGTCTGCAATGCTGTAGCACGTCAAAGAGAATGGGCGTCCAAGAGGCAAGGAATGGTTGCCGGGGGGTAGGATGTCCTTATATATGACAGGAAGCAACTTTTCGTCAACATTAAAGTCAAGGTCCTCTGAAAGAAGATGAAAATGCTCACAGTTCAAGATTCAAGAGGGAAATCAAAGACACCAAGCAGCTGATGCAAATAAAATAAGGCTAACATTGTCAAAACATCTTTAATCATCAACCTTAATAGTATTTACACGGATCGCTGTGACATAGATTCAAGATTTCTATGCTTGTCATGGGCTCCGACGCAGGCTGGAAATAAGGGGGAAATAAAGGACAAATTAATACAAATTTAACTTCATGAATCATAGTTCAGAGAATAGCTTATCAAGCTAATATTTGCATTTTCAAGAAGATTGAACGCTATAGAATTTCTTCCGAATGTGTAGGTTGAATGCCACTGCTGATATTAGAAACGTTTAATTGTTTTCAAATTCACTGGTACGATAAGGTGTGAAAGAAACAAAATATTGGCATTACGTAGTCAACGTTCTAAATTTTCAACTTTTGGATACCTTTTAGCTGAATACACTTTCTTTGACGAATAAAAGGATGAGAAATTTAAAATTTAGGATTTTTTGTACAAAACAGAAAATGCAAGAAAGTCTTACATTAGAATAATGTACCGTTATGGCGTGATCTTTCAAATCAAGGTCAAGTTCTCTAGCCAAAAGCTTTTGCAGAACTTTTACCAAAAATCTTTTTTATCAGAATTCTTATAAAACTTTACTCAAACCAATTGCTTTCGAGACCGCCAACAAGTTAATTAACGTTTAGATATATTCAAAATAAAAAGTTTAATAAAAATTGATATGTTTTCTCATACAATGCAAATCTCTTCACAAGGGGTGATAATATAGTTGGCAAATAAATGGAGTACCAAAATTAAACAAATTGGTTTGATGGTTAAAAACACGACGTTTCGAGCATGTACTTGCTATCGTGTCACCACACGCAACGGACACATTTAATTAAGCTCTTCACAAGGGGAAGGTGATAAATCAAATTGCCAGAAAACGTTATTAATACTTACTGATTTGAACGATACTCAACGTTGACCCAGGCATTACTTCAAAAGATGCCCTCCTGCTTACTGTTATGAATGTGTTTATATACATTCCACGTTGCAAATACATCGAGTTCATAATAGAAATTGTGCCTTTTCCAAAGATCTCCTGCACTGCATAAACAGTAGCCTTTTTATCTCCACTCACCATGAGGCAGACCGTGTAAACTAACCTAGAGTGTCAAAATGTAAGAAATTGTAGTCAAAAAATTAACACTATCAATAAGGTTTTGTTACTCGCCTTTGAATATATTAATAATTCTTTAAAGCAGATGCAGATGTCTCTTAAAATATGCTGAGCTATTCCATTTAGTGACAGAAATAATGCTTATAACTTCATAACACTTTTCATAAGAGACACCTCTGGAACGTGAAAACAAATATGGTGTCCGTTGTATGGTAGTGTCTCTCATTTGGAGTCTATTCGCAGAAAAGAATTTCTTAGGCAGAATGATTATTTCGTAGTTTAGAAGTAAACGTTAATATTTGTTAATTAAGGATGTTCATTGATTGAGGCTTTCTTGGAACTGCCATGATAGAAAACGAAAAAACTTGCCTTTTAAAAGAAGTGATCAGCACTGCCAGTGACACTAGGTAAATGCCAGTTCTTCGAATGAAAACCGTGTCTTCAGCCACGATGATGCCATTTTGATTCAAAGATGGTTGCATGTTCAGTTTTATCATGGAAGTTGTACCAACATAATGAATTGTTGATGCTTTGAAAGGTAAAACTACTCTATGGCTTAAATTATCTCCAATTGAGGTCACTTGTATATTAGACTGTCTTGTTATATTGACGATGTCATTCCCGTTTCCCTGAACAGACACTCTCACTTTACCGGGTGTTTTAGGTATACAAATGCCAGAAAATATATAGTTATTTAATGAATCTGTTTGTTTAGATAGCATTCTTTGCATCAATATTTCACCTCCGGCTGTCTCAACTAACACACTTAAATAGTTCGTTTTTAACCTTGCGGCCAGAGTCACCGTTATAATGTAGGCTGAATCCCGATTCAAAAGTTCATTCGTTTTGGCATTGCTGACCGCCCGTCGTCGGAGTGGCAGCCGTCCAGTTTTGCTTAAACTCTGCAAAGAAGTAGAGAGTTCAGATGATCGCCTGGTAGCATGACTGCAGACAACAAGCCATGCTTTGATCGAATTTATAGAAACAGAAATGTTTTAGATTACTGTGATATCAAATTGTTTTGTTGTTCGTATTTAATGATTGTGCCTTGGATGATAAGGATATATGACAAACCCTTGAACAATGTTCTAAAGCCTACAGTTTTAGCAAGGTTATGACAAATGTTCGTGACTGATTAGATTTACGACATCTAGCGTGCGATTACCTTAACGGAAAAATCCGTCTAAAAATGTAATTATATTACGCTGGTATTGAGTGGTTTATTTACTGAAAGAGGTTTAAATTAATGAAAAGTATCGATAATTAATCCAAGTGATTTTATCTACAGCTATTCACAAAGCCCATAGATTAAAATATCGTCAATTTTGAAGCTTGTATAAAAACACGTCGATTGTACAAGAGATTTTGACAGCATTAGGTGCCTACAAGAATACCAAGTCAGCGTAAGGCATGTAATAAAAGACATAATAATGAAATGCTTTTATTTGCAGAACCTGGTGATTTAATTAACCAATACCCTGAGCCTAAGAAATAATAAAAAATACTGCGTTAGTATTTGACAAACACATTGCGAATGCAAACGCAAACAGCTGGTCGACTTGAAATCGAATTTAGTTTATAGATATGTTTGGCTGATTAAACTACTTCGCTTTTGTTTTTAAAGTGAAGTGAGTTGATTTTTAGACAGTTTAAGAAAACTCTGTGCATAAACATCATTGCAATGTTTTGTGCGGTAGGATTTTGAAGATTTTTATCACATAAGATCAATGCAATCTAGAATTCGCCCTTCAAAAGGTCCTTTATTGGAACTTGTTTTACAATAGGTGTTATCTTTTATATTGTTTCAGCTCCTCAGATATTTCATAGCACATAAAAACCTTCTAATAATATATCAAAATTAATCATAAACAAAAACAGAATGTACCTGATTCACATCCATATTCAGTGAAAATCTTTGTCCATTTGACAAAATTGGAAGGCGTGTGATAGAAAACGATGATGTCTTGCTAATGAAAAATCCCTGTGCATCGATTGTCTGTCTTATTCTACCCGGCGAAGATTCAATCACACGAGAAAATGACAATGTGGCTTGACCAATGCTATGAAAAAAGCGTCATAGTTCGAATACATTTGAATAATGTTATGGAAATTCACCTTACAGAAAAAACTTGCATGTTGCCATGAGCCACATCTGCAAATGATTTTTTGCTATAAAAGTCGAAAAAATGTCCTAAAGGCGTACGAGGTACAAAATACGTTTAGAAAACACTAGTAGTCTAATTAGGAAAAAAGCAGGCTAAGCTAGAGGAAAGCTTATGCAGAAATGATACAAGGATCAGACATTGCATCACTGTTTATACCAGTTACTTATTGATAATAGAAAGTTTTATTGAAACCAGTATTTCTTAAACCAATTGAGACTGTAATGGTTTAGAAATCAAGAGGTATAAAGCCTAAACCCATATGATGTGTTCTTGTAATAGATATACTATTACAAAAATGGGTATACCAATAAATAAACATGAAAATTAATGCAAATGATGGCACATTCAGATACCTTATTACGCGAAATAACGGATGTCACTTAATTAAGGAATGCCTCTTTCCAAATTCCTTAAAAAACACACCTTAAATAATGCACCCACTTCATTTCTTATGCCTTAATCGTTGTAATCCTAAATTTACAATTTCAAAATTTTTATTTTTTTCTAAAACGGATATAAGAAAAAACGATCCAAAAATACAGTATGTCTCTTTTAACCTTGAAGATTTTTCACAACTATTTTTCACTTTAAGACTTTTTTCAAATTTCTTGTCTTGTTCCCTCTTCTTCAAAACCAAGGTTTTCCAAAATGTCCTTGCTGTCAATTCCTTAATTGATATAACTGAAAGACAATTTCTTTGAAAAGTTCCTCAATTAATGTTGCCTAATTTTTTATTCTTAAATAGGTCTCACCCATAATGTTGCGTAATAAGGTAATTGACAAATTGACAGTAAGGTGAAAAAGTGGCCAACCTGCTCGCATTGTAGTGTGATGTTAGTTCCATATGCGTTTTGTTGCTAAAGGCATCACTTATTGCTACGGTGCACTTGCCATTAGTAACTTGGTCAAACACAAAGTTAGCTGTCACCAAAAGCACCTCCCTGGCATCTGACGTTCTTGTCAAGCCATCGTGCCCCAAGAGTCGTCCTTTTTGCGTCTTTTTATACATCCAAGAATCAATATTAAGCTTACTGAGTGGTTGAATATTTTCCTGCAAATCCGAAAAATCACTGATTAATTGATAATCTATGTAAGGTGCTGACAAATGTCTAATCGAGAAAGCTGAATGATTTCACGAAAATAATATTTTCTACGTTTGTTAAAAACATGTCCTAAAGAAAAACAATTTTTTGAAAATATGAATACAAACAATGATTTTTATTCTCCTTGCTGATTATTGGTTTACCGGAACAAAGAACAAAATTTCTAATTCATTGAGTTTTTATGTCTTAACATATGTCTCTTGCTTGCTATGGATCAGTTGTACTAATTTGGCACGATTTCGAGGACCCTCAAAATTCAACAAACAATTGACAATAAACAATAAACAATAAACAAGCGACACACTACTTATTTAAACAGAGCTACTTTTCAAGTTATAACGACCCATGATGCAAGGTAGCGAATTGAGGTTTATGGTTCTATTCTGAAGCAGAAGAAAACTACTTTTCAAGATATCGATGATTAAAACTATTTTCGTCCAACAATTGATATTATCTTTAACTTTTCTTGTTTATTTTCTAAATGTAATGATTATGAAAGTGATATGGCATCAACGCACCTGGAGTTCTGCAAATAGCCATGGGTACGCCTTGGGTCTTTCTATTTTGTAGACTGAGAGAGTTGAAGCGGGTCCAAAGATAACTAAATGATTTTCAAGAGGTCCCATTAACGAAATTTTTAACCTTGTACCCTTGAAGAGGATGAGTAGCAAATTGCAAACTGCAAAAGCCTCTTTGTATATTCGTGTGCTTTTTAAACAGACCTTTTTGCTATTTAAGGAGACATCTATAAGAGCCAGTTCTATTTCTTCCCCAATGTTTTCTTTTAACTGAATATTTATTAAAATTGCAAACATCCCAGTTCTCTTAACCAGTATTTCGTCACCAGAAATCTTTAAACTATCTCCAAGACTAAATTGTATGTTGTTATTGCTGACTATTGTCCAGTTCCCAATGTTTTCTTGTGACGGTACTTTAGTGGACACATTAATATACCGCGCTAGGAAACCATTCGGTGAAGGATTGCTTAAAGCCTCTGATAAAAGAATCACCGAAAAACCGCTTTCCTTGCGAATCATCCAAACAACATCGGATTTTGAGCATATCTTCACAGAGATAGAATCATTCGTCTTCAAGCTAAGAGCAGTTGATATTGATAATGTGAATTCACTAACAACGTCATTTTGAGACGTATGTAATTTATTTGACTGCTTTGTATGAGGTAAATACGAATCTGTTTGATCATTAATTGAAATCATCCCTATGAAGAATGAACGGTCGTCGATCAAATTGGCTTTTCCAATTATGATATTGGTAGATATGTAATAAAGGCCATCTGCTGGCACTTTGTATGACCCAAACATTGAAGGGCCTCTTTTGGACGCAAATGACCAGGGCTTTGAAGCCATGTACTTTGGCTTATTCCAGTTAGACGGTGTACGCCAGCCAATAGACGTATAGGTATTATGATCTAGTAATGTTGTTTGGAACCCTATAATCAGCTCCCTTTCCCCAAGGTATATCAATGAAATGGAGCTGTTCTTGTCTATGTTCCAATTTTCACGACCTTTAGATTTGACAAATACCGCTAATCGCTGTTTCTTTTGCAGATAAATGGCGGAAGAAATCGTCAACGTATGCTTTCCACTGACCGCGCTGTTAGTAGCAAAAAGGCCATCAGGGGACGAGAGATCTCCATCGACTGCAACACAAGCAGATATTGCAGCTTGTTTCAAGTTTGTAAATATCAAGTTGGTAAATACTTTGTATATTCCCGATCTAGAGATTATGAAGTCTTCACCATTGAAGCCACTGGATAGCGTAAAGTCATGGTCATTGACCGATAGTTTTGACACTTTAATCCAAGCGGCTGGGGATGGATATGAAGTAACAGCAGAACTGAGACTAAATGCGGGAAATATTTCTTGTAGTAAAGCCATGGATATACTTGATCGTTCAATAAGGTACCATTCATTTTTGCTCCTTATTTTAAATGATAGATATGTGCCTTTGTACATGAAAAGCATCCTACAAGTTGATGCCTGAATGTGATGCAAATTTCTAACTGAATTTAACAGACTGTGTTCATTAATACTGAATGAAAAAGTACAAGATGGTGCATTAGAGCAATATACCTCCAGATTGACACATATAAGGTACGTTCCAGGCTTCTCAATCACATACTTTTCTTTCTTCATCGTGTCAAATCCACCGCTATGAGCTGCAGTAAATTTACTTAGATCAAGAGGCTTTGAGCCCGGTTTAAGTCTTTCTTTAACAAACGATTTCAAATTGAATCCATGATTTTCCAAAGTAGATTCTCTAAGCAATCCAACAGAGTAACTAGAGCTTGGTAGAATGCTTGAAACTGACTTGCCATGTTTCTTAACGTGAATGTACAGCTTATTTCCTAGATCTAAGTTTACCAAAGCATTCAAGCTCAATGTAATTGTTTCAACACCTTCGTCGACTCCAAATTTTCTCTTCATTAAATTAACGTTGCCACTAACGATGGTTACCATATAAATCTCCTTTTCACTGCTTTTCCTAATTACGACATGCAACCCGATAAAATACAATCCAGATTGAAGGACCGAAAAAACACCGAGATTTATTGACAATGAAGGTGCGCTCAGAAAGCTACCTTTCACCCTAGCAACATCCCAGCTTCGTACGAGTTGCCTTTGATTAGCTAAAAGTGGATTTGCGGAGCTGGGAGTTACGTAAAAAGCTGACGCCATTCCGTACTCATGTAGCATGTACCCAAAAACATTTGACTGTTGTCTCAGTCTCCATGGGACGCTCGATACAACACGGACCGAGACAAAATCACCATCAAAAAGCCTCATCAACCCTGTTGCATGCAGTGAAATATTTTTTCCTTGTTCTGAGTTCGATTTAAAGCTGAATTCTGACAACAGAGCCTCACAGTCCGCTCCATTGTTTACATTGATGCAAGCCTGTATTGAGCCTGGTCTTGATTCCTCTGCATTGACTGTGTACCCGAATACATACACACCGTGTGCCTTTACTTTGAAGCCTTGACCCTTCCGATACCCCATCTCTAATGATAAAACATAGAAAATAAAAGCTAAACTTACAATTTTTCAGGTCATATAAATCAATACAAATGGTATCAGGGTGGGGTAATGATATTATGTTGCATTGGCTGTGCAAGAAAGAGCCCCGTTTGTCATGCGGGCTGAAATCCCGAAGCCTGCCAAGCCATTATATTATGAACAGTGGGTTTGAAAGTGTTTTAGAACCTTTTTACTTTATAGTGCGGTTCTACTGTAGAATTTGTTCAGATCTGGTGTTTGATTTGCTTACACCGACTTGGTATTACACAAGGAAACACGCTCTTGTATAAATAGGGCTATACAAGGGCTACAGAAAGGCCCCATATGTCTCCAAAGGCTATGCTTAGTAAAAATAGGAGATTAAAATTGTTGACTAAAGTGCCTTAAAAGATGCAAAAATGGTGTCAGTCCCAATCTCACATGGAGATGTATGCCATGCTAAAAACGATTCAGGTCAACCTCGTTACATCAAATACTGGACAAAATATTGAGAAAAAGGTGTGCACATGAAAAAAATCGCTAATCTGCTCGGTAATTTTTTAATGTTGTTTGCTTTGTATACGTCAAGGCAAACGTGGCATTTTCAAGCTCACCTTGTAAATCCTTCTCATCCCAGTCGTCGATATCAACTGCTCCACCTTTGTAAGTTCGCTCTCTGGATAGCCTAGCAATGAAGCAGGAGCCTGGAAATCCTAGAGAACAGCAAATGTAATAAAGATCTCAAACCAATGCAAAAAGAGCACAAAAATAATACAAACAGAATCTGACAGAGCATGCAACTGTTAGGTTTCACGTTTTTGGCAAGGGGATCGTAAAAAGAAGGGGTGTAAGCTTCAATAAAATTTCTATTAGTTGGGATCTGATTCAAATTTCTTGCTTGTTTTTTTGCAGTAGGCAACATAACATACTTGATTACCAATTCTGTTTCATCAGTTTGTATTGTCAATAAGGGAAATGGTTGTTGAAAAAAGACCAAGACTAATATAAGAATAATATAAGACTAATATAAATATAAGGAATAATGTTTTTTTAGATGTACGCATCTTGAATATATTCAAACTATGAGAAAATAACTGTACCATATTATACCTCCATAGGTTTTGTCTTACTTGTAATCAACATGAGATGTCAGAAACTTATATGCGTCTTAATTGATCCTTCTTATGATGTTTGCCCACCCGCTGTAACATCGAAAATCTCGGGCAGGTGATATACATCTGATCCTTCTATCAAGAAATTTAGTTTCTACTAAAATATTCGGTCGGTTTTTATCAAAACCTAGTGAAAGAATGTCGAATGTCTCTTGCCAACCTTGAAACAGCTTTAAATCATTCCTATAAGTTAGGTTTATTTTCATTACTATGAAGTTCGATTCAATAAAGCACATGATAATCAGAGAGGCAATGTGTTTAACATGTTGTTACCTTAAAACATGTTACCGTGAATTCCTTAGATTATAAAACAATTATTTGATGGTTTTATTCATGGTACCAGATCGAAAATATCTGTTTACGTAAAAATTCATTGATAGACAATTGTATCAGTTGGGAGATTAGAAAAAAATTTAAGTGAGTATTTGAAAGATATACTTCATTCTTCAAAGAATTTATACATGTTTGGCTAGAATCTTTTCGCTTTCAAAGTAAACACAACTTGGATGCTCCTCTTCAAAACGGGTTTGTCTTCCTAAGAGAAGAGCAAATCCCTAGGCAAGATGGCAAGAGTCTTGTCGATATTTTTCTAAATTGGAGAAAACTCTGTAAACAGATGTTCATAATTTCACCAACAAGATAGATCGAAATCAAAGCATTGGAAAGACGGCTGAAGGTCCTATTCAAAAGTGTGCGACTTTAACTTCATATTTGCTCCAGCGAGTTTAAATTTTTTAGAGATTTTCACGATTGTCTAGAATCAAGCTCAAAGGCCTGCTGAGCAACAGAGCTCAAAGTAAGGCGTTCCTCTGCCTGTCTCTCAATTAGAAACACAAGGCATAAAAATGCTTAAGACGAAAAAAATTTGAATCAGAAGATACAACGGATATCGTCTTTTATCATTTTGTTTTTCGTGCTTTCCACAGAAAAAATTACATGGTACTAATAAAGATCACATGAGCAAGTGCCATTTCTTTTTATCTTCTACTTGCTGCAAGAATCTTTTAAAACCAAATTATTTAACTAACATACGATCATTAAACTATGAATCATCAAACAAAGCATGGTAGCTACGAAAACAAAAAAGCAAAAAACATTTGAAAAAAGGTATGTGTTACTTAATACTATTGCTAATGAAAATAATTTGCTTGAATTTTATCATCGTGTTACGTTTTTGGGACTAACAAGCTATTTTATACATACACGGGCTCGTCTTATAATAAATACCGATGTTCTTTTGATTTAATTGGTTATCATGTATTAGTCCGCTAACAATTTTGATAAGAATTTGCTTAGGACACCCAGGTGTTTGTCAAGGTGTATCAATGAGCCTTTATAAGAAATGCTATCACTGAGTGTGTTTTTCAGGTCGCATATTGTGAAATGCTCGATACCAGTAAGCACGCTTTTCATGGAAATTAGGCTAAAGATTTCGCCGGAATTTAAGGAAGTTTCTCAGTCTTTTTGTGGCCTAAGGATGCCGCAATAGATGTCTGAACGACAGAAACGATTCTGCTAATACATCCTTATTCGATTGTATGTCACTCGTACTTCAAGCCTGTAGAAAAGTTTACAAAATGTTCAAAAACAAGCTTCATCTATTTGTGTAAATTCAAATAGTTTATTCATAATTTCATTGATTTATTAGAATACTTCCCGTTCGAAGAGTATACGAATGATTGTAAGTACTTACCATGAGTTGTAATACTATGAAATGCCAGTATAAACACGAACAAAAGGACGAACTTTCGGCAGTCCATGGCCAGACACGATTAGTGTCACCGGTGCAACGCTAAAATGTACACCACAGCCAACAAGAGTCAAAACCTGACCCCGCCATTCCAAATGCAATCGTTCCCGAATCTTAGCCCACGTCGCAAACGATCTCCAATGCAAACATTGCGAACAAGGCCTAAAAACGTTAATTCGAACAAGAATATTCCTTTCCTTACTACGCAAAGGGTGCAGGTATACTCACGGGGACCGCATTCAATGGCGACAGTTTAGACCGAGCAGCAGATTAAATCAATATGGTTTCGAGGACAGGTGTTCGTATAGTAAAGACATTCTAACCACTAATTCTCTCCCAGATGATGGATCGCTCAATGCTTTGTTAAATATTAATAGAAATTCCCGCTACATCAATAGGGGTATCTACTCAAGTGATTTCAATATTCTTCAACTATAAGAATTACCTCGTAAAACAAATTGAATTGATTATGCAGTTGTCATTAATAAGAATTACACAAGGAAGCAATAACCCTTTGCCAGATTGTGGAGAGCAGAAGCAAAAGAACATTGACAGATCCACAAACTACTTTTATATTTAGCTTCGGGTTGTCTACACAAATTATCGATACTGAAAGCAAGTTAGCCGTCGGATTATAAGTAATTGTTTTCTCAAGAGAGCACACCTGCTCAAATTAAGAATACGATAGCTAGGGACACACATGGCTGCATAAAAAAATTCCTATAATGAGAATAATGGCCATGAAACTCTTAAGGTGTATCCTGTTCCCGGTCCTTTTCCTACTTTCAAAAAGATGGCAAATATGGTCCAAACGAAAATGAAATTAAAGTTGAACTTCATAACTTCATGGTTAACAAAACAGTTCCAAAACGTGATAGTATACAAAAGAGTGACACCGTTTTTCATTCTATCGAAGCAGAATTCCAATACATCAATACACATTCCATTGCCATTCAACTGTAGGCATTACTTTCTTGTATCCTCGGGGTTGATCTTGCAATGTAATTTGGCTGACTGCCATACTTCGAAACTGGCGTTCGAAACTATAATCACAAACAAAAAGTTCAGAGTTTCCAAAAAGCATTTTTTTCAAAAAGTCGAAAAATCTCCCCCAGCCCCCAATTTCAACGTTGAAGCTGTATGTTGCGGCTACAACTCCAGCAATGATTTTGGGTGAGGGTAAGGTTATTCCTGTTATATCATTCTATTGAATTTTTCAAAAATTAAAGTTTTTCTCAACAATTTGCCAAGATTGTATCTTTTATCATCGGGAATCACTCGCGGGATGACTGCCAAGGTGTAACGATGTAATTCTAAGGATAAAAGTTATCAACTCCATTTGCCAGGAAATCAGTGATGGAAGCAAAGCCGCTGTTTTTAGTTGTATGATTCAGATTTTAAAGGTTGCGGGTAAAATGTGAGCTATTATTCGACAAAAGGATTTCAAACAAGGCGTACAGGGTATCAATAAAGAAAACCAAAATCTTTCATTTGGAGGTTCAGATCACAGTGGTCATTAATAAGAAAATAACTTCCCTTCAGTGGCTACAAAAGTAGATGTGTTCAGTCGACAGAGATGTGATGAACGTGGGTTTAATACAATGTAAACACAACAGAACTATGAAGATAAGTTATTCTATTCACAAAACACAAAAATTATTTTGAAACAAAGTAGTGACACCGCCCGTGTAATTTGTCTTGACTGCAGCCTTCTTTCCAAAATATGTGTTTAGAGTGTCAATTCTTCCATAATTTCTTCAGACTCTTCAAACCAAGAGGCAAAGTCATCTAAGAGAGAAAGGTGAGACAAATGAAAAAATCTTCTTCTATTTTTAATTCAAGTGGGCCCTGAAATTTGCTATTACAGCCAAGCGTATATCTTTCTATATTGACAAAATCTTTATTTGCTTAAGATACTGTTCATCTTTCTACCAGATATAAGATACAAAAATAGCAACATCTTGATGAAGAAATCAAAGGTACCAAAGATAAAGATATAAGGCAAATAAAATTAGATAGAAATATTTCATTGAATTTTATCTGTGGTTGAGATGGGGTGTAGCTTTGGCTAGCCAGACCAGTAGGAATCCATTTGAGCTACCGAATCTGTTAACAAATGCTATGTGAAATTCTAATAAAAAGGACCATATGTTTCCCTTGCAATAAAAAAAACAATATGACCCAATAAAGAGCATTATTTCTCCTTGTACCAGCATAGTAAATCACCTTATATTAAGTTAGACTTTCCGAAAGTTTGTTCTTATGTTTAAAGCATGGCAGTTGATGATACTGCTACTGCTGAGGAGAAATGATCAATGAAAAAATTTTTTCTCCCTCTCTTCTTCCTCCGCAGTTAACTTTCAGAAAGTCTACTGTCAGGTGACGTCAAGGAAAGTAAGCAAGCATAAGTCAAAAACTTTGATCAAGAAAAGAGATAACTGATACCATTTTCCGTGAGAATTTCATCTAGGTCTTCGTTTACATCTTTTGACACTCTACCAGAATGGACATTGGACGAGTCGCTATCATCTCTGTTTTTGTCACTTCTAATATTGAAGATACACATAGAAAAAATATCAACGAAAAAAGAATGATAAATCAATCAAAAAGTTTAGATTGCCATTTGGAACAAAAAAAGAAAAAGGATCTAAAACGTACCCAAAGAATAAATATTTCAAGAAAGGCAATTGCTACAAGTACAAACTGATCGTTGTTTCACTCACTGTAAATTATGACGTACAAGGAAATATTAAATACTAATAAATGAATAACAAAGAGTTAGTAGCTACAAATAGATCAAGAAAAATAGCATTCCACTCACGCAAATTCAAAAATGGGCTGGGCCTATAAAGGAAGGATTGTTGTTAATTTAGAAAAAATCTTGATATGCTAGAAATTCTTATAAATTCTATATCTAGAAAAGACTTATAAAAGACATTGGCTAGAAGATATATGTGGCTTAATATGAAAAATACAGAAGATAAGGTAAGAGAATATCAAACTGGCTTCTTATGCGTCAAAAACCAAATACTCGAATGACAATGCTGAGCACTTATTATGCAATAACTTTGATCGCTTGATTACAGAAAGCAAAAATATGCTTACATTATAAGCGGAATTTTTTATCTCGCTTAGCCTGGCAAAACATGTAAACAAATTTTGAACACCTGCTAAGGTTTATCCATTCTCAATAGATACGTACCGGTGAATATCCTAAAGAAGCAGACGACGGCAAGTCAGGAGACAATAATATCACAATATTTGAAGGCGTGATGTTGACGTAATGTTTGCGAGATGTTGGACTGAAAATAGAAACCTAGAAGACAAAAAATTACAAAAAGCAGCTAAAAGGTTGTTTCCATGGTTTTGCCTCCTAAGAATTTAGCCAAGAGAGGACAAGGGCTGGAAATATTGTCGATAAGTTGTAAATCTTTGAATATTGGTATGCTGAATAACAAGATTTAGTTGCATAAGTGTTGTATGGTGAATGACAATACACAATCAATACCGAAGCAAGGCTAGGCGTATTTCAATAATTCAATAAATTGAATGAACGCTCTAATGTATTTGCAAAGCATTTCAGTGACGGATCAGCAGCAAAAGCACAGTATCACTGTAACCGCATCGATACAATCAGATGCATGGCTAGACGGCTACATTTGATTTGGTTTGGAGTCTCACTGCAATAAAATTTTAAATTCATTTGACTATTTTTTTGCGAGCAGGTAACACCATTTGCATATTCTAAAAAATTGCCTTCGATAGCAAATCAGATAAGAAACAAACACAGTAAGACCTTTAAAATCTTAAAGCTTAAAATATTTGACACAACTCTTGTAATCAGCGGTCATACAATCGATGACCACCAGAAAGGACATTGAAAACAAGGAAGTTCAGGTGTCATGCCAAACTCAGCCCCCGTTTCATTGCTTTCTTTAAGGCATTTGTCCTAAGAAAGCTTCGTGGACTTTAAACAACCATAATGAATCAGAATTTACAGCGACAGCATGCCAAAAATGACTTGGTTCAGATCAGGACAACAGGAAAAGCCAGCACGAGTCATTGAAATATGATGGCTTAACAATGATATCAAGAAAAATAGCCAAAAATAATTTAACTAAAATCAGGCCTATTTGCTGGATAAAAATTTTAAGAAATGTTAAATGATGATTTAATGAAATTTAATCAGAGTTAATTTCACGAGGGGCTTTTGCATTGGCTGTTACTCCTGAGTTGATTATTGACTGTTATTCATATTTTTGGTCTCATGTGCCACGCTTTCTCGTGGTTCTCTTGCATTTGCGTTACTAGTTTATTGGTATTGCGAAGTAGTCTTGGCCTCCGGGGGTTTTGTTTAGTAATGCTAGGGCAAGACTTATAGCCCATGGTGGTTTTCATTCCCTAGGTTATTCTTGGGGGGTATTTGAGGTTTTTGGCATAGTGTTGGTTTCACTTTGCTTGGTGAAAGGCGACGAATAGAGTGTGCTGTTTATTTTCCCGGCCCTCCCTCCCTCTTTTCATCTCTTGATGTATTCATTAAAATTCCTCGTACCTTTAGGCATTCCTTTATGCTGCTAGCATTTATTTGGATGCTATTAGGTAGGACTGGTGCATCGGCTGTTAGTGGGGAAAAGAGTCTTTTCTTGTCCATTCCCTCTCCTTTATCAATTAAATTTGGGGGTTATTATGGAAAATTCCAAAGTAACCGCTTCCTGTTTAAATCAGTGGTAGGTTTAGCGATTTGCGCCGATGCACCAACGGCCCAACTCGCTCTCGATGATGTGGGAACGTAGCCTCATGACTGACCTTTCTGATGTCAATGGCAGTTTTTCTGAGGGAGCTTTATGCCCTTCATTTTGTTGGTATTTTATTCACGAGTTAGGAAATTAAAACAATTTTCAAGAAAAACGGTTTTTAATTTTCAAATATTGCCAAATTTTGTTCATCTACATGTCTAACCTGCATTAGGCTGTCTGGCTACATCAGCGTCGATTTGTCTATTAGATTTTATTTATAGAGAACTGGTAGAACGTCTCTTTATCCAATTTACTATAAACAAATGAATATTTTATAAGCCATGCTTATAGACGTGCTTTGGAAAAGACAAGTACGTCAATTGATTTAAGCTGCCAGTACGGGTGGGTCATAGCATATAAAACAATTTGAGGCACCGAGGGAAACCCTTATTCGGAGATATCGTACTGGCAGTACCACGCAATCAAAATGTCATGCATCAAGACAGTGCAGCGTATGATCTGGAGGCTGAGCACAGATTCAGCCTTCATCAAATTTCAATTCAAGGCATTCAATTAAAAATAAAGTTCCCTTGATGAATCATAAAATCCAGCTTGGAGGTACTTCTTCATTCTAAACAGCATAACCATAAAAATTGTTTGTCCCATGGCTTAAATCAATTATCAGCTGTTACAGAGCTACTTATATACTTCCAAGAACCTTTAATAAAAAAGATAAATGAAAATAAAAGGATCGAGAATACAGAAAATCCTTCAAAAGTAACTGAATTGGTCATTAAGTATTAAAATATTTAGAAAGAATAAAGCTCTAGATTATCAACTGAGCCACTAGAGATAAATATCCTATCAATTCCAACATCATGACTCTTCTAAGAGCTCAATAAAGATTGGATTGATGCGATGTTTGGGATTGCAAAAATATTACCTGTCTAAGAATTAATCCTGCGCCGGGGCAGAGCCCAGTTTGACAACCCTCCAAAACAGCTTTGTGAATCGTTCCATGAATTTCCCCTGCAAAGAAACAGTGACCTTGAATCGAAACAAAAGCTGCACTGGAACACCATATTAACGAGAAGAATTTTTAAAGTCCAATCGCCCCTTCAATATCAGCGACCGTCCTTTGTCTAAGACGATATAGCTACTATTTATGGTCCCCCTTTTTACAAGAACAAAGGTCCTATCACCTGGCTAAAGTCCCTTAGAAAAGACTATGCTTTAAAAATATTAACTTCAGCATTTGACTATACTAAATGCATGTCAAGTACAATTAATTCCAACTTCAGACAAAATGGCATATCTTAACACTGAGAACTTTCAATCTAGGTTACAAAAAGTGATTGGTCATCAAGGAAGTTTTATCGGATTTTGCCCACCGCATCTTCTTGACTCTCTTCTGTACTTCTACTTCACTTTAAAAGCTCCTTACCAGTAATGCGTCGCTTTTCCCAATATTCGTTTGTTCATTGGACATAAGCTTTATTAGCTCTTTGAGTTCAGATACAAATAAACGAACTGGAGGAAACGCTAAACGCACTTATGAAAACAATTTCTCAGGCTTATGACGAGCAGCTACGTATCAAGAAAACAATTGGAAATATATCTTATATCACACACCTGTGGGATCTTTCAGTATTATGCTTGCATCTGAACTATTCAATGTGAATGTTTTGATCAATGCACACATAAGAGGCACCTTCCCCTTTACCAACTGCTTGGCACGGGCCTGGAGTTATGAAAAATTTATAAAGCAAAGCAAATGCAATAAAACTATTTTTACAGTTACAGCTAATGCAAAATCACTACAAAAGGCCACTGTGAATAAAGAGACATAGCGTAGCAAAGAGGTAAGTAGTGTACTACCATAAAACTTGAAAACCATAATCATTAACTAATTAGCCCCTGTATCAGCAGAGCGATAGAATCTTTCTGCTGCCCTGTCTGTTGCTGCTTCTTCTGCAGCAGCAACAGATATGAAGACACCTTGATAATAATTGCGGTTTTGCTTAAATTCCTATGGTTTTGTGCAAATGAGAGGTCTTGGGAATAAAGTACGAGATGAGGAGATAGGAATGTTCATTCACCAGTTCATCCATAAACTGTATTGCCTGTTACTCATGAACAGAAGTAAGTAGTCAAATTAGGTACTGGGTTTGAGTAGGGCTGCTCGCTGTGAAAACTAGCGGAAATATTGCTAAAAGAATATTGTTTTTATTCATTCCATAGGTTTAACAATATTCCGCCTGTATCAGTTGATTATTTGTTTATCATAATGGATGACAAAAATGACATAATGATTCATTCCAACTGTAGAAAACGCAAAAGCTCTCAATTGGCTTTGCTTCATTAGCATAAACAATTCAAAACACAAATCGCTACCTTTTTATGTATTGTGGCAATAGAATGATACACCAAACCTAGAAGGAAATCCATACAATTGCCTATGAATACGTTGCAATATGACTCATGCTTGGAAAAAGGTCATGAGTTTAAAAAGATGCTTTTGGCCTACTTCAAAATACCAAAAAGGTCAAGACAAATCGTCATCACAACAGTGGGCATACAACACCCTCTTTGCATTCTTTTGGCCAAAACAATGCTAATTACACAAACACTAGCACATACAACTGTATCTTTTCTGCTTTGTGAAATTAGCTGCTGTGTCATTACAAGTTCTTCTAGAAAATTTCTATGAAAATAAAATTACAATAAAATAAAAGTTATACGAAAAGATAATGGGATCATTTGAGAACCTTTGTATTTGTTCATAGCATCCTTTTGAAGTTGCAACCAAAAGGGCTGCTTGAAGTCTTTATCTGCTTTCCTAGCAAATGCAACTTGTGAGTTTTCTATCTGTTGATTAAAATTCTAGGATAAATAAAAGTTGGCAGAAAAATATAAAATTGTATTTCTATTTAACATTTTTTATTTACAATATACAATATACTTTCACATTTGTCTAGCACAGCATTTTTTAAAGGAAACTTTTTGCAGCAGTTACTTTATTCAATTCTGCAACAACAAATTTTAAATAATCTTAACATGATGGCTTTAATTGACATGGTATGATAAAATGACATGACACTGACATGATAAATGTAAAATATCAATAAAATGCATTATCTAAAATTAGTAAAAGATTAGAAGTCTCATGCATCAGAAATTTTGAACTTCAACAAACTAATATCTTATACTGTTGCTGTTAACGTTGTTGACATAATTCGATCTATGTTTCAAGGCAAAATTGAAAAACCTTATAAAATGGCTTTAACATACATATCAATTTGATATCTAAATCTTATATTTCTTTGCCAATTCTAAAGAAGGACTGGAACATTATTAAAACAAGCATATTAAACATAAGAAAATAAATATTCTAGAAGCATATAAGATTTTACAAAGAACAAGTGTTGTGGAACTACTCAAACCTTTGGTGTTTTCGCCCTTTTCTTGATAGACTTTGTTGGTGTTAGAAAGTTCTTTGTATCAGATATGTTGGCCTATGAAAATACAACAACCACTTTGCTTCTTATAGTTTCAAGAAATATTTGTTTTGCAAGTTTTAAGAAACTTTTGAATATTTGCTTTGCAGGTCCATATAAAAACTCTATAATCTGTGCATAATTGTGTTGGGAGTACATAAAATGTTAACCACTTTAACAGATCATAAAAACAATTATTCTGAAATTTTTTTATAAAACTTCCTGTATGCTATGAGTGGACATTAGAAGTTAACAAGTGGACAGGTTTTTAAGAATAGAAAAAATTATCTAATAAATTTTTGAAATATTTGAATGCAGGTAGACAGGGGCTTGAAAAACCACGAAAAAATAAAATATCTGTCTCAACATTGATGCTGGTAATATGATACTTGATATTTCTATGTAATTAACATAAACATGCCATTGTTTCTCAAACAAATAGAAATAGTGACAAATATGTCTAGCTTAAGATGTCAATAAAAATCTAAGGCAGGTGGTACAGGTTCAAATTGATTGAGAGGAGGGTATTTAATCGCACTTCTCGAGTGATCTAGGAGAGTGCTGAGGTGCATGTAGCCAATTGCCTGCCTCAAACAGCCAGGCCGGATTTCATGTTGTTTTATGGTCAAAATCTTAAATTCTCTAAGAGATTTCAGTTTCCTTTTTCTAAACATGTCAAGTAATACTTACCAGCTTTGGCAAAAGGCCCGCTGGACCAGGGAATTGTCTTTTATTTGAAGGAGTTAAAATACTTTCATCTTCACTAGAAAACGATGTTATTATAATTTCTTCTCCATGAGAAAAACCTTCCAATCTTTGTTCTGGCAAAGTTCCACTACAGTCACTGGATCCAAGAGACTTGTGTTTGTTGTCCATCATCAAATCTTCAAATGTGCTTTCATCTCCAAGGAATTTGTTATCAATACTTGTTTCTGACTTTTCAAACAATTCATTACTTTCTGTTGAGTTTTTATAATTTCTATTACACTTCCTTAACCCATTCTGTAAATTGTGAATGTCCATTGGCTTCTTTGGCATTGCTTGCATACTTTTGTTGTCATAATTTCCATTTATTTTATCTTTCTTACCATTGGTTGTAACAGTCTTTTTGAAAAATTTAAACTTTGGATTTATATTTCTGTTGTGATTTTCTGGTATCAAAGGTGATTGGTCATTAGATCTATTTTGAGAATCCATCATACAAGGCTTTGTACTCCAACTGGGCTTAAAGATATCAAGTCCTTTCATAGTCAAATCAGATTCTGTACCATTTGAAATGTCTTTTAATCTTTTTGTTGAAATTGAATAGTCCTTAGAAGATCCCTCAAAAGGAATTTTTTCTGTGTTATTCAGCTTTTCAGTATTCAAAAAGGTTCTCAGAATTGGACCATTTCCAAAATGTTCACTTGAATCACTACCATTTGTGCTTGATTTATTTCCCCTCTCCAATTGAAGAGAAATATTGGAATTTGTGAATATGCTGCCATCCAATAGGTCCTTAAAGAAAAAATTTAATTTAAAATTATTTTCTAATCTACATTAAAATATATTCAGTGCCCTGGCCCCAGACTGAAAAGTTTGGTCTGCGCAGGGAATGCTTTTCTGATAGCAAGAAAAAACAATGAATACAAGGTCTCTTCGAAAGTCTTTGCTTAAAATTCTGCGCACGATATCGCAGGAAGTGTTCGTTATCTGCAAATTTCAAAATTATTGTTCTGGCATTCCCCGTGCAGAAAAAATACTTTACATTGGTTTGTTTTGTAACAAATCTAAGCCTTTTATAATCAACAGGCCCTGGCCTGTTATAATCAACTTTACCTACCAAATTTAACATTATAAACATGGCACATGATAAACAATGAATGGTGGAAGGAAGAGATAACTTCCAATACTTTTTATCCTATAAAATAATGAAAAATAATTGCATGTATAAGCTGCAAAGTAACTTAAAGGCTTGTAAGTGTGTACAGAGATGTGGTACATATGAAGATTAAAAGCAATCATCTTTAGCTAAAATCTCCAGCATGAAACCATCATTTTCCATTCACATACCACAAAACAAGCCTAAGTGTACAGTAAGTACTCGAATTTGCCCCCAACTCAAAAACTGTTTTGAGAAATAAGCCGCGGGGGGGGGGGGGTTCGTTTGGACATACAGTAAGCTTTTACTACGGTAGACTAGGGGACTATAAAAACAATTTCATATAGTTCACAAGATTCAAAAAGCAAGTCGGGGAGAAAGTGATTGTCTAAGAACGAAGCATTTTTATTTAAAACTCTAATTGTGCAATGTTTGGTTTATTTTGCTCATCTTCAAATTGGAAGTTCAAAAAGGGGTGCAAATCAAATTGTCTACATTTCTACAAACAGAGTCTCCCACCATGTCTTCCGGAAATAAATAAGGACACAACAATTATTCTAAATCTGGATAACAGACTTACGTCGTCTGAAAAGTCAAAATCCTCCTCGGTATCAAAAATCGAATTCATTCCAAATCCTGCCAAATTTGTAATGGCATCTGATGACTTTTCAAAAATTTTACCGCCGATATGAACTGTTTGTTCCCCTGATGTTAGCTGCACAAAATTAGCCTCGGTATCAGAATGGTGTTGAAGTTTGGCACTTTGACACGGGCTATGCATCTCTATCTTTCATTTCCTTTCCTTTCCTTTCCTTTCATTTCATTTCATTTCATTTCATTTCATTTCATTTCATTTCATTTCATTTCATTTCATTTCATTTCATTTCATTTCATTTCATTTCATTTCATTTCATTTCATTTCATTTCATTTCATCTTTGATTTCATTTCGTGTTTTAAGAAATCAATTGCAGGGTTAAATAAACATAAAAACAATGTTTAAAAAATAATCTTTAAGATAGAATCCGACTGTTGAATGTAACATCAAGAGTAATAAACAAAGTGCTGACGGTCAAGCTTTTTAGCCATAGTCAGTTTCAGTTTTACAAATTCAATTATCAATCAATCCTAAAAATAATTCAACATAATTACTGTGCAATTACTTATTCACATGGAACCATACAATTCTATAAGACCAGTTTTCAGCTGAGTTCTAAACTCCAGGCTCCTAAAGGAAAGAAAACTTGATTTCGGAACTTGATTTTATATTACGTAATATTACGTCCTTTGATAAGCTTTCAAAGACTTGACATTTTTTATCTGCAACATAGGCCTAGTCTTGATCTGCAAACATGAAACAAACCAACACTGCTTGAGTTTTTCTCAGGTTGAAATTTTTTTTAAACAGGATTTTTTTAAGGAAAATTTAGAGTTGCACATTTTTCTCGGGAGCACTCTGATGAAGGAATAATTATTGGTTCTTATAAGTATAAACAAAATGTACATGATGCGCAGGTACAGATAGCTTGTGCTCCAGACCAGTGGTGTAGCCAGGGTTGGAAGATTGGAGGGGCAAAGAGAAGTCCGACAGCAGAGGGTCCGGGCTTACCCCCCAGGAAAATTTTTGCTGTCCACACCCTTAAAGATTTGCAGAAAAAGCAAGTAGATTCTGACTCAACTTGGAAGCAAAATTATACAGAACATTAAAATAGAAAACCAAATTTTCGAGCATTTGACAAACAATGTGAGTTTTCTTGGCTATATAGAATCACAAGAAACCAAAGTCAACTGTATAGTATCTTGGAAACAAAATGGTGTTTGTTGAGTGACATTTAATAGTGATGTAATATCTAATGTTTTAAAAACTTTAATAGCGTCTTTTTTCGAGCTTTGCCAGTTAGACGGACGAAATTGATGACAGTAAAGCAAGGTATAAATAGCAATTGCACAACATATTTAGAAGTAAATGTTAAATTTTCTCAAAGTTAGCATTCTGTCTATGTCCTTTGACCATACAACTATGAGATTTAAATTCGAAACTGGTGACATGGTTTATTTTTTGCTCTGAATTTTTGATGTTCGCTTATTTGAGAGTTTAAAAAGGCTCTCTTGCTTTAACACTATAATTTTCGTGTTTTCTGTTCGTGTGACTCAAAACGATACAGCGACTATAAAGTTTCGCAAAAATTATATTTCCTCTACATCGAATGTCTTTCTATATCTATAATTTCTATACCGCAATAGGTCTTTGTTTAATTTGAGCGCCATCTTTATTATCTTTTGTGTTTTATAACTAAATTTTTTTTTGTTTTTTACTGCAAAAGTTTTCCTGATAAGTAAAATTTTAGAACTGCACAGATTTTTCTTTAGAACTGCACAAAAAATCTTTTAGAACGACACATTTTGTGTAGAACTGCGCGTTAAACCTGGTTTGAAAATCTTTTTTCTCAACCTAGGGCGAGTCTAGCTTGTTTTGAGCCCAGTTAAAATTTCGCCACAGGCCGGTTTCCACACAGCTGCACTAATTCCTTTGAGCGGAAAAAGCTCGGGAGCTTTTTGACGGCGCATGCGCAATAAGGTAGGGTTACCGCTGCAACAGAGATTTCTTGTGGGCTTCAGATGCTCTAGAGCTTTTCCAGAAAGTTGATTTCAGGACAACTTTTTAGCACGTTGTTATTCTCTCTAGCGTCAGATAGAGCTTATTGCTTTCATCTGTCCAACTGCGTGAATTTCTAGACTGGAATAAGCAAAGTCATGAATTGGACATTGCCCGAAACCCAAGTCATAAGAATCCACCTTGCTCTTCCATGGGACCCTGCAGAACCGAATATTCTGTCTGAACCCTGCCATTTGAGCTGTCAATGCGAAAAACTACACGTTATTTTAATACAATAATCGCAGACATTGAGTTCAAGCTTGACGGTTCCTACTTTTAATTTATTAGCCTAAAATTTTTATTAGGCTATTTCTTAAGATTTCAAAACCAATCTTTTTTTAGCAAATTGTATGTAAACTTCCTTTCTTGGAAATATCATGGAAATATACCGCTTTTCTGGAAATTATTTCGTGAAATTGGTCTTCTTTATTCTTTTTTCTTGAATTTGAGTTGCCCCAAGTCCAGCTTACCAAATTTTTTTAACTTTCAGTTCTACTGCGCTTTCAATTTTTTATCTTTGTACATAGAAAACTTTGAAAACTGGAAATAAAGCGCGTGAATTTAATTCGCATCTGTTTTGACAGTACACACCTTGCGCTTGTGAACGCCGCGTGCCTCGTTTACGCAATGTCTATTCTCTGCATCCTCCTTTTGCGAACATTTCGAATAAATGTGGTGCCTGATGCGGTAGCCTTGATAAAAACATAAAATCGTTGTCTATCTTCAACATCTGCCAAAGAATAAACTACCAGGTTAGTTCCTATAGACTTTCTTATTATTTGTGTCTTCTAAGATACTTCTTTTCGTCGTACAGCCTTTATTTTTAGAGAAATATTGCGCTAAGGTCTTAGGCCCACTGTGTTGCATTCTCAAAATATGGTGTACTTATCTCCTTTACAGCATGACGGCCGAAGTGGAAAATCCATCACTGAATACTGAAACAGTGAAGACAGAAAATAAAGAAGAAGAAGGTTGGTTCTTGCTGTGTTTTCCTTTTGGTTTAGCGTAAAATCGACTGGCCTATGTCCCAATAATATTTAATTGCTTCATGTACTTTTTCCACGGAAGGAGGTTGGTTGTTCAGGGTCTTCAGGCTTTCATTCCCGTAGTTATCCAAGCTTTTTAGATTTTCGTTTCCGTAGTTATCCAAGCATTGTTGTTAATTTTTTGTTGTTATTCCTTAAAATCTCTTATTAGTGTGGTCATGATTATTTCAGTTTTTCTATCGGTGCAAGACACAATCGCTTTCTGCTACAATCCTCAAGTTTGTTCTAGTCTCAATCTTTCAGTGGAGACGAGAAGTACCTGACAGAAGCCTACAACCGGCAATACGATTCCTTTACTTTTACTAACATAAAGAAGTTGTTCTTATACACCTCAACCTTTCATCAGATATAATAGATATATAGCATTCCAAAGTGAGGGTACTGTTGAAGGTAGTCAAGTAATGCAGCAGCATTTTGTTATGTGCATACAGCAATAGAAAATGCTAGAACAACCAAACTCACTTCATAAAGATCAGGGCTAATATCTTGATTTGAACTAGTCCAATTTATACATATAAATCCTAAACCCTAATATAATTGCATCAAATGATTCTTTCCTCTAAACAACTATAAAATGTTCAGAAAGTGTTTACAAGCAACCAGAACTTGAATCCAGTTCAAACAAGTGCTCACCAGGTTGAGCATTTGATTAGCCCCCAGAGCGCCTAGTCCATCATAGTTACACAAAGTGAGTAAATTGGTAATACAAAGTGAGTAAATTGCCAGACCTTTTGAAAAGGGTTGCTTGAGCTAAATCAAGTGTTATAGTTTATGTTGTTTAAAAGAAAATGCAAAATTCAAATTTTTCATTGATGTTATTTGATGATATTTATTTGGTTTTTTTGTTATTCTGTAAACTGAAAAACAAACAGACTGAATAAGCATCAAATATATAGATAAGTATATGCAGGCCATTTGGTTACATGCTGAGCTCTTAACCTCTTCAAATCAATATTTTCAGCTTAGGCATAATTCAATTCAGTTTTTAGCTCATATATATTGTTAATAATTCTGACAAATAATCAGCACCAATTACAGTTTTTAAATAGAATCTACTTGTTACACATTAAAGAAGCAACAATTCATCTCTCAACTATCATTAGCTACTAGTTAAAATAGTAAGCTATTGAATTTGCAGGCCTGGCTGTTTGAGGCAAGCCATAGCTCGCGCTCACCTCCATGCTCTCCTCGCAACCTGAGGCGAGCTATGAATTGCTCTCCTAAACAGAACATGAAGGGAGAATCGCTCCCCTAAAATTTCCTATTCAGAGAATTATGAAAACGCACAAGGGTTAATTGGTTTATTTTTGTAACAGCGATTTCTCCTGTCATTGCATTTTTGGCAATTAACTTTTTGCTTGTTGGGCGGTTTTTGTTATGATAGGCATAAACTTCAATCTATTCGGAAAAGGATAGTTAAGCGCAAGGTACGTTTGTAGCGATTAGAACCTTTCAATCTTAAGAAAACAGGAATATTTTTGGAAGGAAAGTGGAAGAAATTGGTAGGAATCGTAGATTGGGGATATAATAAGACAGCAGGTCCCTTCCAGCAATAGAAGCAAAACTGTCCCTCAAAGAGAACAAGGTCCTCTGTCTTGCAGATCAAAAACAAAAACCAAAACATGGAATTCCACTATCCAGCAGCATTTACTGAAAAACCCAGATTGGATGAAAAACTATAACGGCGACATGTTTGGCATTAATGGCAAAGCCTGATCATCGTTCCATCTAGCAGTTTGTGAATCTATCTACTATATAAACATGACCGACCGCTTCTGTGTAGACATAAGTGAGTTCGTTTTCACCTTAGGACTCCGTTGGTAACATTTTCAATACGAAAGCGGCACTGATTGGACAACCTCAACAGTCATGTGCGCGCGCTTTCTGGTTGGCCTATTTCGATCCAAAACTGGGTATTTTAGCGTAGAGTTTTCCATCTATGTTCAAGTAAAGGGGGTGCCTAAGTCACGGTTAAAGCAAATAAAAATTGAAAGAAGTAAAACATCACACTCCTGACTGAGGCTATTACATTAAGGCAACCGACAGATACTAAAGGGGCCTATTAAGTCATCTGTCGATTGTCTTTGAAGTACATTCTATGTGTTACTGATTTAGCTCGCCTCAGCAAATGAGGGGAGCGATTCACAGCTCACCTATAAAAATACAAACAGCCAGGCCTGAATTTGGCCATACATTTTTTCAGGGACTCCAGTACCTGCTTTTTTGTTCCTTCCAAAGCCTGTAAATTGCATGTCTGTAGTATACCAATTCAATTTTTGACCTTGCTTTAAAGAATATTTAAAATTTCTTTGAACTAAATTTTTGACTAAAGATTCAGATTAAGTACCATAATTTTAGTCTATGTGTAAAGGCCCATTTCTACTTCATTCATAATTGCATTTCACATGCGATTTCCAATTCACGAATTGCAAACAGATTCAAATCCTATACACATTTCATTTGATCAAATGTGATGTAAACCCAGTTTCAGAACATTGCTTTTAACCAATGAGATCATATTCTTCAAATTTGCACACCCTTCTTGTCAATTGTGAAAATTTAAGGGGTTGGCATTGCCATTTCATGGTGATAAAGTCTTCTAGCAGCTCATTTGCTTTGGGATTAACAATTTCACCCCATTTTCACTTTGCTTTCCTTTTTAAACAAAATTCCATTGCAATCTGCATTCTTGCTGCCTTCGGTACAATTTTTAATATCAAATGATGATTTCCACCCTGAACTTTTGTCACCATTTTGCTGTTATGTTTTTTAGTTTTATGGTAATAGTCACCAATTCATTTAATCTAATAATAGAATAACAATACAATACAATTGCTCAAACCGATACCTGATAAATTGATTGTTCAGTTTTTGTTTTGATTCAAATGCTGCCATGGTTTTTCTTACTAAATGTTGGTTTCTGATTGGCTAGCTTTCATCCAGTACTTTTGTCACATTGCAAATGTTCGCATGTAATTTGCCAACTTTCGCATGCAAATTTCAAAGAAAAAGTAGAATGCAATTTATGAATAGCAAATGAAGTGGAAATGGGCCTCAAGTGTTTGTGTTCCTAATGTTTCTGCTGTTGGTTTTATGGTGACATAACATTCAACATTTTGTGGATGACATAACATCCAACATAACATTCACAGAAAAACATCAGATTAAGTTTGGAGTAATTCAAAATAAACAACATTTGATTAGAAAGATTTGATTTCAACACCAGAATCTTTAAAAGTCTGTTTGAATAGATATGTATCAGTTTAAATGATTTCCAAACAAGGAAGCTCATTTTGTGCTCATTTTATTTTTCTTGGAAATTTCACAAACATTTTCAAAATTTCACTGTTTCTGTATAAATACTATAATTAGTTGATTGTAATGCACTATAGTCATCTCAAAACATGGACTGATTTGAAATCTCCAGAACTAAAAACTTTAAACATTGGGTTAATTGGCCTAATAGCATAACATCTCTATTGTAATGTCTATATTCTCTGTTGATTCAAATAAATGTTGTTCTTGCCACAATTAAGATTGTATTTGCATAAAGTTCTTAATTGTAACATTGCAAAAATATATGTTTAGATTTTCATGGCAATACCATTTAAAAATCCTTTATCAGCAACACCAGTTTCAATTAAAATAATATTCCCTTAGCCCCTTTCACCTAGAATTTGTAATTTGATTGCTGTAAGTCAGTTGCTCCATCACTGCTCTCAGATGTAGTTTCTAATCTAGCCAATAACCAGCAAGGAACATTCTTGATGCACAAGTTTACCTAAACATGTGCAAGTGTATATCACTGAAATTTTATCCTATTCTTGTTCTGTAAGAAATTACTCCAAGCATTTTGACCAAATTTTAATTTTCCTGTCATCAGAAGTCTTTGTAGCTTAAATTTCTATCATTTAATTTTGTAACCTAATTACAGTTACAGTACACTCTGAGACTGAAAGCGACAGTGATGATGAAAACCCACCAGAACTTGAAGAGGCTATTGGGGAGAACCAATCCAACGCCTTTGCTGCAGCTGGAATCCAAGAAGAGCCAGTGAGCAAAGCAAAGCAAAGTAGAAGTGAGAAAAAAGCAAGGAAGGCAATGTCAAAACTTGGACTAAAAAGTGTTACAGGTGTTAACAGAGTAACAATAAGAAAATCTAAAAATATTCTGTTTGTTGTCAATAAACCAGATGTATACAAAAGTCCAGCAGGAGACACATACATTGTCTTTGGAGAGGCAAAGGTATTTTCAGAAAAACTTTCTTTAAGATTCAATTGTGGCTTGCTGTTATTTAGCCATGTTATCCAGAAACATATCTCTTCATAGTAATATTGACTTGAAATCACCTGTGAACGAGTTGGCAAAATACAGATTGCTCTGCATCTAGTTGAATCAAACAGGCTCAGCAAAATTTCTTGGCTCAGACATAATTCAGTTAAGGTCTAGTTGTTACAGCATACAAATGAGATTTCTGATGGTGATGTGTTATAAATTACTGACCTTTAGTGATTTCTATGTTTCCAGGTAATGTCTTTTCAAACAGCATCTTGAATTCCATGTTTTTATGTTTCATTAAAGTGCTAGGTATTAATGTTATGTGATGAAAACTTCCTTATAGTTGTTTGACTTGGAATGAAATTCTTAATCAAAATAGCCAGAATTTATCTAAGAAATTCAACTTATAAGTTGAAATTGTAATGAGAAGAACAAAACTAGGACATTCATTTTACTTAAATCAACCCTTTTAACATAATGAGCTCGTATACTGTAACCTGTGTTATCAAGTTATATATATATTAGCTTATTTTCATTAATTTTTAAGGTTGAAGATCTGAGTCAGCAAGCCCAAATGCAGGTAATGTTTTAAACTTTTTTCAAAAATATGATTTCTTAAAAAATCATCAAAATCTTTTCTTTATTAAGGAGACATGCTCCAATGCAAATTATTATAGTCAGGATTTTTCAGGGGGTTACTGTCTTTCCTTCCATGATTTCGTGCAGCTGCTCAACTTCACTCGGTTGTTTGCATCCTCAAAGGTCAATTCAACTTTATGACACTCCTTCTTCATCATTCCTTTCCAACTCAGCTTCGATCTTCCTCTCCCTCTACTGCCTTCAATCTCCAAATTCCATGCCTGTTTACACAATCATCAGCACCTTTTCTCAGTACATGACCCAACCATCTCAGACTTTCTTGCTTAACAGTTTCAACAACTGTGTCCTCCAGTCCTAATCTTTCCATCAACTCTCTTGTATTTTTTTTATCAGCTAACTTTAATCCACACATCTTACAGACCATACATCTTCCCATTCTTCTCAAAATATCTTCTTCAACTGATCGTACCACCCATGTTTCCGATCCATATGTCATAACATGTCTCACACATGTCCTGTAGAAAGGTGCTTTTAGAAGTTAAGATTATCTATCAAATGGACCTTTTCAGATGACTGTTAGATCAACATGCCTTCTTAAAACTTCTTGAATAATATAATCCCTTTTTTGTAGCAATGTTTTATTTTCCAGTTTAGAGCCTATCCTAGATAAAATAAGAGGCATTTGAGTGTCAGACTTAAAACACAACATTGTAGAGTTAGGTTAGGGCTACTAGTCCAGGCTTTCTTCTTCAAGCTATTTGATGGTGGAAATAGATTCTGTTTTGAGATTTTGTGTAATTGTTACAATATGAGATATTGTAACATTTTTATGAAAGCGTTCATTTTTTAAACCAAAGACAGAACTTGCCCAGATTTGATTGGTTATGAGTTGTGTAGACCAACGATATCATCTTCCAATCTTCCATTTAAGTTTCCTTACTAAATCGCTATAGATATGATGTCCTCTTTCTTTATCAAGAAGAATAATAGAACTGCATGTGTCTTTCCAAAAACCTATTGATGGTCTGTTTTCTTCCTAAAGGCTGCAGAAAAGTTCAAAGCTCCAGAGCCAGCTACAGCTTTAGCTGACAACAAACCCCAACAGCTTGATAACGAAGAATCAGATGAGGAAGAAGTCGATGCAACTGGAGTGGAAGAAAAAGAAATTGAACTTGTTATGACCCAAGCAGGTGTTTCGAGAAACAAAGCCATTAAAGCTCTGAAGAAGAACGATAATGACATCGTCAATGCTATTATGGTATGTTTGTGATCAGTTTGTACTATCCATTGAACTCTCGCCAATGATCAGCCTTATTCAAAGCCTTGCCTGGCACGAAGAAGCCTGGCATTTCAAGGTCATCAGTAATTCATATGAATGAAAATAAGCAATAAGATTTTAATCAACATTAATTAAGCATGCATTTTGCTAAATTGTTTAGGTTTGTCTTTTTTATGTTGTGGCGCCACGTTGTAGATTACTAGCTTTTTTCTTTCACCTGTGTATTTAAGTAGTTAATTTTGAATAACTGTACCATCAAAATACGAAGCAAGTCAAAATATTGTAACCACGCACTGCCATCAGTCTAGCGTTAGTGGGTTTTCTCTGTTAATTTATGCATGCAGCTTTAAATTGTTTTTATTTCCATTTTAGGAACTCACGATGTAAGCATGCTGTTGCTGAAATGACACATCAAAAACTCGTTCGTATGTTTGTAGTGGCGAAGAGTCCATGTTTTATACCCCTTATGTTTTTGATCGTGAATTTTTAAAAACAGTTTAAATTTTAGCGTAAGATATCTGCGAAACACGAAACAATGTTTAGATAAGTAAAATGCTTCACACATCCACTCAGTTTTCTTCAACACTGCAAGCATACGTTTCCAGTAGCTAACATTGAAGTTTCGTCTCAATGTCATTAATAATGTAAGAAGGATAAAACGAAAAGGTAGTCAGCTGCAAGTCTTTCTGTGTTGTCTTTTCTGCAAAGGTTTTTTATTATTTCTAGCGTGAAATTGACCATAACAGGGTTTTTGTTGCTTCTTTTCCGTTGGAAGGTCAGTTTCAAGCGCACAGTAGCTGGTGATATGAAGCAACTTTAATTAAGTCTTTTTAATCTTTGGAAGTATAAAGAGAGAGATTTGCTTTTGTCTCCAAGAAACATAGATTCTTTCTGAAGGTTTCAATAAAATTTCCTAAGGTGATTAAGTGAAAGCCTAATGTACTAGCTTTAGTTCTTTGTTGGTTGAGATTTTTGGCTCATACAGTGGTTGCGCTCTCACCTTCCAATAAAGTCATCGAGAGTTTTAAAATTCTAGTTAAAAAAGGTCAAAACTCTAAGAACTAATGAGAAAATTTTAAACATGGAAAGGAGTACGGTCTTGTCCCATGTTTTGGAAGGGGACACGCAATGAATCATAGTACACGTGCATAACAAAGTAGCACGAACATGTTGATAAGGATAAGTTTAATGAATAGAAGATACATCTTTCTGATGTTTGTGAATAACTCTAGTAAGTATGCATTAAATTTGTTTAATGCAATACTATAAAATTTTTGAACCAATCAGCTTACTCAAATTTTGATTGTACGGCAGGGATATGCATACGGTGGATTTTGCCCTCACTACAGGAAGTAACAGCCCTGCCTCAAAAGGGAATCTCCAATTTATTTTTATAACCTTAAAAGTTTCAGTTTTTTACACTGTGATGTGAAAGGTACTGTTCCTAGAAGCTGCTAGGGGCATGAAACTGACAGCGAGAAGTAATTTGTAACCGAAGTCTGTTTTTCTCACTGAGTGTTTGTTGAACAAATATAATGAGCTTGTTGTGTGAACCCTAATTAGTGATACAGGTTGTCGTTAACAAGCTTGAATAATCGCACCAGTCTTATTCCTTTCGCGTGAATGCAATCTGTAAATTTTTCCTGAGGTAAGTTCGAAATGTACTTTATAGAGAACTTTGCCGCTTTGCCTAGCAATTTTGATGTCTCAGGGAAGTATGGCAAGATTCTGTGCCATTTAACTGTTGCACAGTAATTTTCCAGAAATATTCGGTTCTGGCCTATTCCCCCTAAACACCCGTAGAAGCGAGCTACCTTTGCATATAAGACATACCTGCAGCCCTAGACACTGCATTTAACTAGCATTAAAACTAGATCTATCACTAATACAACTCAAGTACCCAAGGGGACAGGAATATATATTAAAACCCCATAAAGGGGGCACAGTACAGTACCCTTCACTGATAGAATTTATTATGCTTGCAAATCATTGCCATGATACTGGCAACAAAATACGGATCACAAAGCTCAAAAAGACCTCATCAAATCTTGTTACTTTCCTCAACTGTGTTTGGAGCAAGGTACACTCTTTTGGTCGAAGGTCAAGAATTATCAAACATCTCTCTACAGTTGTTTTCTTTCTTGCTTCATAATAATTCGTATCTTTGCTGGTTTTTAGCCGGCAGCGAAAATTCGAGATACCCGAATACCCATTTGCTATCAGGTGACGTTATCTACCCAGCTGTCCTTTATGGCTCCAGAACTCTCCAGCACCGAATTGATTTAGAGGATGACTTTATTAAAGCAGTAGGTGAAATAGGGTCTATTTTGCCATTGTTCCTCCCCCTTTTAGTGGGTGTTGTTTGTTCCCTACATCTAGACATGAGTTATCCTACAAAAGTTATATATGGATCATCTCTAGTCACAATGTTCAAGAGCTCTTTTTGTTAATATTGGTAAAATTTCAGTTTTTTCTCGGGATTTGAAGAAACGACATTTTAAGAGCTAGTACCAAAACAGAAAATGATATTGTAGCCGGCAAATGTGATAACCCCCAATTGTTCCTGTAGATGAAATAATCAAGGAATGTATTGAATAATGACGGTCCTAGTAAAGAGCCTTTGGGGTACATCTGCTTTTGTTTTCAACCAATTGCTATAGGCTGTGTGAAAGTTCTCATTTTAGCGATGTCTTTGTGGATCCATCTGAATCGTGCTGGCAGCAAACTTCAATTGCATCGTCCAGTCGAATAAATTCAACACAATTTATTTGATATACTGGTGGTAATAAAAGAAATTATCTGATGCTCTATCAAGCGCAGGAGTACCTTAGAACTGCTGACCCTACACGAATGGATCCATTAGTTTTAGACAGTCGTTCAAGTAAAAAAAATCAGCCAAATAGAATACAGGCAAATTAAAAGCGGAACTTGAAGAACAAGTTTTGAATTCGGAAAACGCGAGTCCCGAAATTTGAAATATCATGAAAAGAGTATCATAGTCTGTCTCTAAATCTTGCGTTTGCCATTATCTTTATCTACTTTTTTGTACGAGATTGTGGAGGGTTTATCTTTATCTTTGAATGGGGGATTTTTTGAAGAGGTGTATAATACGGGGTTGCCAGCTAGGATTTGGGTATACATATTTTCCACTGATCTATAAAAAAGACTGGATCGAGCTTCCCATTGTCTTGAAACACCAAAGTTGGAAGCCCATTCAATTTCCAAAGGAAAAGGGCCCCAAACAATAGCGGGAAGCCATTCCTCAAAACCAATACTTCAACGATATGGATACGCGAGAGCTGCAATGCCGTGTGTATAATTGCTGAGAAAGAACAAAACCAGAGCAGCTGAAAACATTGCTAGGGGTGACAGAGAAGGCTGTTTCCTCGCATGGGCTGTTCTGGGGCCCTCTTCTCGAATGGCGACACTCTGGTCACATTAGAAGCTCGATCCAGTCTTTTTATAGATCAGTGATATTTCCTTAGACTTACTCAATGAGCCTCTGTTTCGCTACTGCCTCCAGTCTAATATTTTCTAGCGTAGACTTTTCGAACTATGTTCTGACGTTTTAAACACTGAAGAGTTGCAGACAAAAAGCTTTAGTTTACTCAAATGTTAGCTTTTTTCAAAGCCATTTTCATTTTTTGTACAACCAAAAGATTATTTGGATAATTATTTTGATTGCCTCAATATTTGTGAATGTAAAGAGGGTAATTATTTTCTATATTTCATGGTGAAATCAGTGGCGGCGCCAGGGGGTGGTATGGTAGGGGTAACTACCCCCCCCCCACTTTTTTCGAAACATGGTCTACATATTTCATCTAAAAACGGGTTAAAAGGCACTAGGTAGGAGTAGATCATATTTCCTAAGGAAATTTCACCTGGTACAAAGCACTGAAACGAGGCAATTAGGGCGTGGTCTCACTGGCCACGCCCATTACCCTCCCACTCGGCAGTAGCTGGCGCCGCCACTGGGTGAAATAGTTTGATAATCTTGAAGGTATGTTTCGGTAGCACATAGAGCTTGTATCTGCCATATAAGTAATATAAGACGTTCGTCCCGCGAGAGGAAAGTCAGCTATGCGCAACGAGCCCTCCTCCAACGAAAAAGTCTTGAAATAAAGTATAATGAAAATTACGGCTCACCCATCAGTTACATTTTTAATATGGTCATGTGCACAAGTTATTTAAAAACCACAGGCAAAAAGTCGTTGGGTACTTATTGTTCTGCCTCTGACCACGATTGTCTTTTCCACGCTTGAAAAGAAGTGCTTTTTCTTAAACCTCTTACAAAAGGAAACTCTGCACCCAGATATAGGCAAAATAATTAGTATTGATGAACATGGGGAAAATAGAAATTAAGTATACGTTTCAAAAAAAGTGTATAGTATATAATTGATCAGCCAATAAGAAAATTATTTAGGCGGGCAAATGGCGTAAATCCCCTGAACGTTTGTTTCAAAAGGAGAATGCCTCTGTTCCAAAGCCGAGAACACATTTATAAAGCGATTAAGGCAAATGTTACAGATCACTCTCTTTATTTTACAAAACATAGGACCTTTTTTACTTACACTAATCATGCAAAAAACTAAAATTTATGTAGATATACATTTTGCAGAATTCCCCAAACCAAATATAAAACTAAGCAATATACATTATGAATTTACCAACCCAAATATAAATACTTTAGATTAAATAAAACCGTAAAATATTAGATGCCCAATTTTATTGCTACCTTTCATTTTACACGATTGCCATAATCTTCATTTGAAGGAAACAAAGTTCATTTGAATTATGATCGACTTTGTTTGTCTCTCTCTAATTTGATCGAATTCACTGCCATCCCTTTGCATCATTTCCGTGCTTTACCTCCTGAACCTTGCATTCCTTGTAGTTTCTATCACAACTATCTGTGCATTTTTTCCACATAGCATAACTCACCAGTGACTTTACATTGTTGTTTTTACCACAATCAAAATAACAGTCCACTTCGACCTTTCTACAAAGTCGCAAGCATTTTAAAAATGCAGGGTTCTTAGTGGTCTTTACTCGCTGCATTGTTCCAACTGCAAGTTGGCAACTACATTGATCCTTCCACAGTATAATGAACAATAAAGCAGCTAGTAATAAGTTTGTTTTTAAATTCCTTGAAATGTAGGGCCACTTGGAAAAGTCCATTTTCAGAGCATTCGTCATCTGTTGTCCAACGCCTGTTGGTCCAAAGTGCTCCTCATGCTGCTAGTTACTTTTCCATCGACAAGGTAGATTGGTTCACTGGTCGTTTGCTATGCTTGGAACGAGAAACAGAATAACATGAGATCGAATAACAATTGCAATACAACCACAACAAGACAATAAGAAGTGGACAACAGAGCTGCCAAGTTCAATGGGTGAAAGGACTCTGAGTTCTTCCTATACTGTGTCTAGTATGAATGTGTATATTAATAATAAGGCTGGTTAAGGTACAGGTGCCTCCAGCTGTGCAAGTAACTGCAAGGTTGCTTGCACAGTGTTTTTCTTTTGAAGGTATAGAATGTCGAGTGGCAAAGTGTAGTATGCTCTCTTGTGTTGCATAACATTAGAAAATTTTCTGGGCATGGTTATGCAATAGCACTTCAGTCACATGCATCATATTCTATGAAGGAAGTTGGGGATTCTATATTCTATTTTCAAGTCTAAACGAAAAATGTTGTACGAAAAATTTTGTATTATTCCAGCTTTCAAGATTCTGACCTGGTGCATGCTATAAATATTGCGAGTGCCTTGCTCAAGTTATTAACTGATGTAGATGAGTTGTTGTCCTCTGCATCTCTCAACTTAATTCACTATCTTTGTATAAAAATACTATACATTTTGTCCAGCCTCAGTATTCCTAAGAAATGTTCGTTTTGAACCTGAATATATTCTTGAAGTATTCTTACTTTTCCATGTTAGAGATGGTTTCAGGAGAACATCGCCCACGCTCAAATATAAACCATTCTTTTTTAAAAGAAGAGATATGTCAGCCGTACCCCCGTACGATTCTCTGTTATGAAAATTTGTTATACAGGCAAATGTTGAAAGTGAAGCGCGAAAATGCAAGCTGGGGCTGAGCATTATACGGCCTCCAACGAAAGGGGGGCCGGGGGAACATGGCCTCCTCACTATTTTGCAAAACAAAATAGCTTTTTCAAAATCTTATGCTATGATTGTTAAATGTTCCCTTGACCCCCCACTCTCTAACCTGTGTCGGAGCCCTTGCAATATTTTTTAATATTTTTATAAATTGGGTGATTTTGAGACTAAATATTATTATAGACAATATTCTTAAAAAAAAAATTTGTAACAAAATATTTGGCCACAATTGACCTGAAGAGCATGTAACAGCTTTTTAGATAGCCAAGAGATCCTTCGAGGAACTGTCGCAGATTTATACGGTATTTATCGAGGATTCCTTAGTTTTCTTGCATCCTGTATGTCTAGAGTCAATATTGGTATCAGCTTTATGTTTGCAACTGCTTCCTATCCCCTTTACACTCAATAGATTCAGTTTTGGATCTTGTTTACACGTAATTGCTGATCTCTTGCAAATTTGTATCTTTCGTTTCAATTTCTGTTTCAAGTACAGGTAAAACGCCCAGTCATTAAGGAGAGTGGCCATTCTGCTAGAACAAAGATATTAAAAGAAGAAAAAAATTCTTTTTGAACAGTTTTTTGGCGGTACAGAACTTGAAAATGGCTTTGAAAATGGCTTTGAATATTGGCTAAAAGCTTTTTCATCTGAAACTCCTCAGAGCATAAAACATCAGAATAACGGTCCGAAAAAACACGATGAAATATATATATGCAGTTGTGGATCGAAATAGGCCAATCAGAAAAACGCAAGCACAAGACCGGTATAGTTGACCAATCAGTGCCGCGTGCCTAAAGAACAATTACCACTGGAGTCTACACAATGGTACCCTGGGTACCAGACTCACTATATATAAAGTGAGTCTGGTACCCAGGGTAACACAATGGCGGCTTTTTCGTTTGTATGTAGATCGATTCCAAAAGCTGCTAGATGGAAAGACGACCGGGCTCTGCCAATTATCCGAAACATGTCGTCATTATAGAGTTTAGCACAATCTGGGTTGACTAAAATATGTTGACCGATGGCAGAATCACTTGTTTTAACAGTGTTTCTAGACCTACCAGGTCGAGGAGGCTGTTCTCTTTGAGGGGAAGTTTTGCTTCTTATGTTGGGAGGAACATGTTGTCATCAAAGCCATTTGAAAATCCTTTTTGCTTTATTTGAGGTTTTGTCTAATACTCAAGAGGTCAAGCTCGGATAAGTGGACTTTTCCATGGCAAATTAAATCAAATTCGTTTGCTGATTTATGCTCTTCTGCTACATTAACCTATTTCCTGGCGTTGGTTGTTTAGGACACAGAGTACGACAGAATACGCCAAGGTAAGTTACATCAAGTATGCTGAAAGAAGTTGTACGTAGGTAGTGGTGAAAGACAGTCTAGAGCACCGTTGCTCGATAACTAAAGGGCCCGTACCAAAAGAAGCCCCCAAACTATTTGTATAACCATGTTTTAAGACTTCGCTCAAGCTCACCCAATTTTCAAAAGTTCTTCGACTGAAGCTTCTTTAACTCAGCTTTTCCTAGTTAGTGAGAAAGAATAATCGTTTTTACATCTTACTTTTGTGTTTCTCATATTATACAACGTTGGGTGGAACTTTCTCCCATTCCGTCAATAGGGATCCCGCTTGAGTTTTTTCTATAGGGTGCCAGATGCTTCCATTAGGCCACTGCCTGTAGGTTTAACGAATCCAACTAACACTGAGGTTTCGGTATTCGCCTATTGATGCAGTGACAAGAGCTCTTATTTTCTCATACATAATCATATCAACTTCTCTCGAAATATCTTACAATAACTGCAACGCGAATCGGAATAAACGTATAAACGATATTGAAAATTTTAGGTTATGTGCTTTGATTGCCATCTCAGCTCACAATTTTTATGCAATGAATTTCAATGGGCTCGATTTTTGATATAAAGACCAAGTGGCAAAGATGCAAGCTTCAGGACAAAGGGAGCTTGAAAAATTGATTAGCAAATTTTCAAGAAAGGACTGCATTTTGAATGAAAACTATGGGTTTTTTGGTCAATCAACCTCTTTCATAGGTAACCTTCCGTGAACAAATTCATAATGACAATTGTCAAATTCTGCGTCAGTGAGAAAAGAAGCTAGAAAATGCGGTCTAAACAAACGTGGTTTCAAATCGCGGTCTAGAAAATGGGTTGGGTCGAGTTACTGGAAAAATAAACCTGCCGTTTGGCGACCACATTTTGTTTGGCGAAGTTGCGTGGTACCAGAGCAGCTCTGTAACCATTTTGAAGGACAAAAGCGATTGATGATAGAACTACAAAAAGGTGAACAAGTGATGAACTGCTGTGTATATAAGACAAAAGTTCAACACTAATTTAAACCCACCACTCACTCTGCTCACTCTTTGAAATGGAAAGAATTTGTCAAACGTTTAAAGACTACTGCAACAATTCTACGTGTAAACCTTGCAAGATAAAAAGTACACAAACCATCATTAGTTCATTACCTTTCGCTGTTGCGACTGTCACCAAAAAAGGAATTCTCATCAACAAGTGAACCTGCACAAAATGACGAAATGCGAAGGTTTTCTATATCCTAAGGTCTTTAAAGGTCCGAAAAGTTCTCAGGCACGAGATTATTTGCGTAATAAGACTAAGACAGGATTTAGTATGAGTTTAATGGAGATAACGCCATATTTCAAACGATATTCATATTCTAGAACGTTTAAAAATTTAGTCCAGCAATAATTAATAACAACTAATGACACGACAGCCAATTTCAGCCAGTAAACATATATCAATTAAGCAGAAAGAAAAGATGACAACACGCATCTATGAATATTAGTAGGTGGTGAACAACTCTTTATTTCTTTTCAGAATGATAGTTTACATATTTCTATTTTTTACAGTTATCTTTTGATAGATTACTGTGTATCTTTGAATATGAGACTAAAACTGGTAACCTAAAAGCAATCCTGATTCTATAGATAATATGATGAGGTAAACAACCCCCAAAACGGGGCTTTGAAGGTAAAGCGTGTTTCGTATAAATATTCTGTCCAAAAGGTCAGTTTCTTTTCGTATAAATATTCTGCTCAATAGGTCAGTTTCTTGCATTCCTGTAATTCGATTGAAATTTCTTACTTGAAATTTCTGATGTAACTCAACCACGTCTTTACTGTTGGTCGACATATATTGAAAGATACACAGTATATTGTCTTTTATCTAACTTTTCATCAAATGTTTAATGTGTAAAATATGAATTTTTATAAAATTATTCAAATTAATGCTAGGAAACAACAATAATAGCGGAATTTCGTAGGAATGGGTGGGTTACTAAATTCAAATCTTTTCAAATTCAATCAAAATATACTGTACGATCTTCCACTATAATCTTCTCGCCAGCTTCCATTATCTCTGTATTCCGTATGCTGAGGTAACCAAACAAAAGCAGAGTTTCCATACTTAGCATAAAGATGCTTCGAAATTGCCACAACATCGCCACTTGGCTCAACAGGGTATGAATCTAACATGTGATTCCAATTGCGTTCAAATTCCTTCACATTTGATGTCAATTTCTTTATATCAATAGGCAATTTGTGTGCGACAGTCGTAAGAATGGTGTCACAAAAAATATCCCATCTCTTGCGGTAATACCCATGCATCAACCCACCCCACATTTTATTCGCGTAATCTTTAATATTATCATCAGGACCCCACATTGTTATTTGATTCCTGGCGTTAAATTCGTAAAGGGATTTCTCAGCACTGGTTTTGCCAAGGCTCTTTGCACTTTCAAGCCACCTTCCAAGTAGGAAGTGTTTGTCAGAAGACAGCAACTCATCCGCATCATTCAACAATCCGAGCAAGGCACTTGTAGAATTTCTAGCATGTACCAGGTCAGAATCTTTATAAGCTTGAATAATATCCATATAAATTGAATATGATATATCTTGAAGAACTTGACGGCCAACATCAACAAGATCGTACCTAAAGAAAAATATCCCAAACGCATCAAATTATCAGAATGAAATAAGTATCCTAAAAACTAAAAACTATTCGTTTTGGAAGTCGCTTAGATTAAGGATTTCTTAGCTTCGCTTCCTATTTCAAAACAATGTTGATCTTGGAACAAATAACCTCGAAGAACAGTATGAAATAGCTCTAAGTGTGCAAAAGCAGTTGAATGTGTTATAGTTTGGCTGAGGTATAAATGGGAATTAATCGCTTAATTCGAGTTAATACTCGCGGGGAAAGTGCGCAGGTTCCCCTTTTCTAGAATCGGGTGGTCCTACACGTATATCTTTAGTAGACTGTGAATATCAAGTTACCTTAGCTATTTGCAAATTACCTTGTGGTGTTTTCTACGAGGCCTTGTCCTAGCATATTTTGCAGCACGAGTCACGCTATGATGTATGCGTTTTCCCCTCCCATCCCTGTCCCCCTGTACCGTTACATACTTCCTCCTGCCCTCTCCTGCCTCATTTCTTCTCACACAGTCATTCGAATGCGTGACAGGTGTATCAGTATGATTTTCGGGGTAAACAACCAAGGCAGTTTTTTCCCTGGAATCAAACACCGATCATAAAATTGCGTCATTGCTCAGGCAAGACAAGGGCTGATGCACCAAAAACCCAAAATATTTTTCCTGAGACTAGGGTTTTGTTTACCATAACTAAGGGGTCCCCGTGACGGAATCAACTACACGAGCACAGAAATGGTTTCCAATCAAATCATTGTAGTTTGTACTTGGTTCAGAAATTTCAATATCAGTCTTCCATTAGCAACACTGCCATATTCCAATGGCATTATTTCAGTCAATTCGCAAAAGATTTGAATGGTTATGAGGTCCAAATAAAAATTTCTTAAAATATATTTTTTGTCATTTTTCAGAATCTCTAATAAACGGACGTTGACATAGTAAACATAGGTTCAGCTCAATACATAACAAGACCGGACGCTCTGATAAAATTGATTCAAAATCCAGACCAAACTCTTAAGTCCGAACTGTCTTGCAGATCAAAGCTAATCATTAACCAAAATAATGACAGTTAACTTCTGACTACCAGACCGGAAAAAAGAAGTAAAAGCAAATCTAAGAACATGAAGCGAATAAATGGAAGAATCGTAAGAATCATAATAATCATAATTATAAGAAAGTAAATTTTTGTTTCAGTGTGGCACATAGAAGTAAAGATGCAAAACGTTGAAATCTAAGATAAGGTATTCATAATTAACGGGTACCCAATAGTTCCCTGATTTACGAATTCCAGCTACGTTTTTAGCCCGATTCCCCCCGATTCCTCACCATCAATCCAAAATCCCGGCGCTACGATTCCTGAATCACGCTCACAAAACATTGCCGATTCCCAACTTCCGACTCCAAAAAATTCCCGCTTTCCCGAAAAAACATATAAGGTATCCTCTTTATGTACATTGCAATAAAATCTATAAGAGAATAAAAAATGTTAAGAGCTTGAAAAAAGGGGACAGATACCGTACCTGTAGGTTTCAGACTGCTGAAACTCGTCAGAGGCATCTAGTAGTAACTTCCAGGCACTGATAAGATCCTTGATGTTATACCAAATAGCATATTTCAGATTGATTGAAGTAGGTCTTGTCACTGGTATTCCATGATTGTGATCAGAATGGGTATCGCTACAGTTATAAACAGTGGAAAGAAGTATTTTCCAAGCTGCCTGAGTCCGTTTGTCCTTTAGACCGTAACGTCTCTCGGCGTAAGCATCTGTCCAATCGTACACGTCAAACTTGGTGGACCGCCAACCCATTTCAGACATCAGGTCATATATAAAATCGTTTTGCTCGATCCCTTCAGGCGCCATCCCAGTTCCGATTATGGTTGAACCTTTCGTCGAATGTGCTTCAATAGAGCCTGGTGAGTAAATGAACTGCTTTATATTCTCATTGAATACTTTTGTCAACGAGTCAGATATTCTACAAGAAACTTTTTAGCAAGCTGTCTTAACTTTTTTATTAGGTATTCCCTCCTCAAACATTGTTTTGTTGGATGATCTTAATACGCAGTTCCAGCTACAATCTGGTCGAAAAAAGCTTTCCAGTTAAAAATTTATACTGATTTAAAGCCTGTGAATTTGAGCCAGTTTATTCACCCTGACCCAAAACAACATTATCTTTATGATAAATGTCTAGAATACTGAGAAATTCTTAAACAGTTCAGACTGTCAGGTAATTCTTTAGCAAGGTAAATTATATTGATAATAGTGGCAAAGATAAATAACAGTCTTTTTTACTGTACAGAAAATAATGTGACAGACAAAGACAACAGGAGAATACTTTAGAAATTTACCCACGCTAATTCCTGTCCCTTTTTCTTCATTCTAGATTCCTCCATTGATTATGGTATCACCATGAGCCAGACTTTCATAGTCATAAGCAGGGGAGCTAAAACACACAACAAAATATGATACAGAATTTAAACGTACCACTAGTCACCTCCTCGACCTTCCCGTACAATCCAAGGTTGCCACCGAAATTATGAAGCATGCACCAAATAAATGGCTGACCATAGAAGCTTTCTGTTTCCTTCCATATAGGTTGTACTTCAGCAAAAAGGTCCAATATGATCATTTTACCTACAGGAACACCTATTGCAGGGAAAAATGATTCAAATTTTCAAATAGCAGAATTATTATGGGAGTTTCAAATGAATCTGAATTGAAACTTAAATGAGTTTTTTGGGTTATTATTGATCTTCCATTTCTGACAGTGATGTGTATTCAGTTAAATGGGTAAAACACATATTACTTCTAAAATCCTATACTTTAAGCGAATGATGAAAACATCACAATCAAGGAAACTGTACATAAAAAGTCATTTAGTAGCTAGAATTTTCTATGGCTGAAGATGTATAATTAACAGATATATCAACTGAAAGGTACCTGCCTACCTGTCAAAAATTGCTGGAATAAGAAAAATGCTGAATCTTCTAAACATTCTCTACTTTTAAGATTGATCTTCTTGAGCTTGAAAGTTTGATACACAAGTAGACCAAACACTTCCAAGAGATTTTGAACCTTTCTAAAAGTTATTGAGGATGGCCAATAAAATAACACTTAGGAGGAACTGAGTACACCAACACCCTAATTAGGTTTGATAGTTATCAACCAACAGTCATGGTTAAAGAGATTGTACCTGTGAGCAAGGCCTTGATTTGTGTTTGTTTCCAAAACGCTCGGTCCTGAAAAAGCCATCCTTGCATCAGCCATATGGCATCTGGATCTGCTGCTTGCATTGCCTCTAAAACTGAATGACTAGAAGATGCCAGATAAGCTGGGTCACTTGAAGGTGGGGTCATCTCATTAAACGAGTCAGCATTGTATATGTGGTCAGTGCCATTGTATTCCTTCATCTGTTCATTGATGAACATAGAACCTATTTTCTAAATCAAAGGAATAAAAATACAAATCATTAAATAATTCCTTGAAACATGTCTTGCATGCAATGAAAATATTATATGTGAATTTTTTTATACATTACAAAACTTTCAGGTCGATCTCTATCCAGCCATCACATTAATAAAAGATGAGTAACCCTGTAGAAAAACTTAAAAACAACTGATGGACAAATTAAAGTAGAAGCTATACTTACATGGAACAACGGATCACTTGGGTCAAGAAAATAGGTACAACAGTATGTTGAGTTGAATTTTCCCCAATCTCCAAGCCTCATAATCTTTGCATCTGGATGGAGCTTCATAATAGCAGGTGGTATGTGACCAGCAAAACCAGGAAGGACCGGTTTCATTCCAAAACCTCTCATTCTCTTCAGTATCTTATGTTGCAGTGCAAGCTGGTTGTTATACCAAGATGGATATGGCAAAGGACCACCCCAGCCTCTCATGTTTCCCATTCTTCCCCTTGAAAAATAATATGAAGAAATTACCTTTAAAGTCTTTCTTTAAAAGTTTCTTTTAAGTCATCAAAAGTCATTCAGGGTTTTCTATAGGAAGGTAAGGTAAGGAAACAGATAATTTCTGATAATAGGGCTGACAAAAATATCATCCTGAATATATGCTAATAAAAGCCAGCTTGATTTTGATCTTTCCTGTAAAAGATTAAAAATTTTGCAGTACTGAAAATAATGCAAGAATGTAGGCAACCATGCAAGATTGCATGAACAATTTCTCTCCTTTACCAAAGGTAGCCAGAATTTCTAAATAAATGAAAGTTAAATCAGAAATTGTAAGCAACTGAAATACCAGGCAAGAAATGCTGGACCTGCAAAATGTTCATCTAGTTCATTCTGGGTAACACCAAGCTCCTTGTAAACTCGTCTGAAAATTTCTTCTTGTGCAGTAAATGCTAATGGAAGATTAATTCCATTGAGAGCCATCCAGTCAATTTCCTTTTCCCATCTTGACCAATTCCACCAAACAAACGAATAGCTTGATGTACAGACATTTTGATAGTATCTATATCTGAGAAAATCAGACAAAGAATACATAACTGACGCTGTATGTGATAAAAATCAGGCTTAAAATACTACTTGTTGTACTCTAATTTTAACATTATTATCAGTTCTTATTATATGGCTTCTTATAACTGTTAGCATAATATTCAATGTTTTGAAATAAATAATGAGATAATCTTATAAATAATAATCAATACAGTACAGTTACATAAAATATTACTTGAAAAGCTGCGACAGTAAGCAGAGTTTGACTGTAAACTGTGCTTAATTTAACAGTTTTTCCTATATGGGTTTAAAATATTATTTGTTTGTAACTGGTAGTGTGAATTTACGTGGAGGGACTTTCAGCGGAATCGACTGTAGCAATTCCAAAGGTACTTTTAAGCAGGCTATCACCATTTCATTAAAAAAAGTGCATATTGACTATAAGAACTGGCGAGAGCTGTTGCAAAATGTTTAGATAGTAATACTAAAACAATTCGTTGCAAGATATAAAGGGCCTCAACCTGTTAGGAGAACTGACTTTAACAGGCTTTGAGACAGCCGGTAATGTTTTTGATACGTTCAGCTGGCTGCCACTCCATGAAATATGAGCATTGCAAAAATATTTCAGGTAATGGTTAAAGCCCCACGCAGCTGCAACGCCAGATGTGGCTGTTATTTGCAAAATAGATTTATTGACTGTATGAAACTCGAAACTATCCAAATGTACAACATTTTCATCGTCAAAGTATTCTTTATCTATTACAATTGAAAATTCTTTGGTTCTGTCAGGTAGAATTCTTGCAATTAAATCTTCCACATTCTGTTTTTCTGTATTTTCACTTGACGTTATCGCTAAATTGCAAAGCAAAATATTGATAACAACCGGAGCTAGAACCTGCACTTTACAGAATCTGGCCATAATTGTTGTAAACACCGTCACTTGTCGGTCTTTTCCAAACCATCCTACTTCCGCAAAATCGGAGGAAGGGGTCCTATTGTAAATGCCTCGATGTGATTTAATCGCTTCCAGGTGTGGTTGCTGCTGCCCCTTTTAAGCTCGGAAAAATTGCTTTCTAGTAAAATAATTTCATTATCAATGAAATTATGCGCTTTTGGATTCAGTTTATAGCTTGGAAAACAATCTATTTTTTTGTTTTAGAGACAAAAAGTTTCAGAAGGTGGACTACAACTTCTGAAAAAGATTATCATCTTGCAAGGCAAGAATATTGAAAATTACCGTATGCTCAATGACTTATTTGAAGCTAGTTTTTACAACTTTCATCAAGCCCATTTAATATTCAATTTCATTTAAAAGTTGTTTCAAATATTAGAATATTAATCAAAATAAAAAGTTGACAAAGCGCTTAGTTTAATTTCATTTGTCCCATTCCCCCTTGAAGAACTTATGCATTATGGATGAGACTATTGTCTTTTCTGTTGCATATCTATTAAACCATCACGGGGAATTCATCTATTTATCCGAGGAAAAATTATAATCGATAGACCTTAATTTTTATCAAGTATTCTGCAAGAAAGGATATTTCTGTTAGTTGATAAAAGCCTAGCGCCCCCATCACATCACAACACCCATCTCGGCCCTTAAGGAGGCAGTTCATGTTATATTTGAAAAAATGTTAGTTTTAACAAAACCAACATAACTTTGGTGTAAGTGTCAATACATACACAATTTTTCTGCTAGTGGATGACATTGAAATAAGAAACAATTTTTGATAATTATTAATGAAAAAAGTAAATTGGTTTCCATGGAAACAATATGTAAACAAGTGTACTCTTTTTGCCTTTGACATTGATAAAACAAGTTCTATCAACCACAGGAAGCTGAAACTTCTGCAGATAATCTGCATTGCAACAAGCTGTGCAATGTATTGGGGTTTTTTCAAAATTATCAATTAATAGGGGGGAATGTCCAAAAAATAGTTTTTTGTAGTTCAAATTAGTTCAACAACAAATTTTGTAAACTTGTCAATTCATTGCATAGAACTATCTTAAATACATATACTGTGAAAATTTGAGCTTGATCTGGCAACAGATTTTAAATTTATCAATGTTTTCCTATACGCACGTCTACAATATTAAATGTTGAGAAAACGCATAGTAAAGTTTTAGGATTATTGCACAACCAAAATGATACCAAAATAAAAGATAAAACCAATGTCCTGGTGATAAATATTGTACAATTTAGTCTTTATAATAAACTTCCATGCAGAAATCTTCCTTTAGACCTTATTTTTCTTGAATTCTGTTAGAACAGCTATTTCTTTTTCATCAATGAATGTTATATTTTGACAATTGCTATCATCTTCTGAATCAATTCTTTTTCTCTTATTATTATGTTCATCATCAACTTGCTTTCTGGTTGCTCCTCTTGCTTTATTTTTCTTCTTTTGTCTGACTTCAGGTAGAGAGTCTATATCAAAAGAACCTGCTTTATATGACTTTTTATCTGAGTTTTTTTTATTTTTCTTACCCTTATGACGCAGTGCTTTCCTTTTTGTCTTAAATTCCATGCTAGATTTCCTTTTTGAATTTTGCAGCCTCTGTTTGTTTTGGTTCCTCAAATATTTCAAGGTATGAGGACCAAGGTCTTTGATACCCAAAGATCTCATCAGCAGAGCTCTACTTGCAGCTCCAGTATTCCACATGGAAACTGCTTCACAAACAGCTATTTTAACTTTTGTGGTCCCACAGTACTTTGTTTTTGGACACCTGTTTGTCCACACTTGACCATTAAGGCTTTCATTTTGATTCTGGGTCAATCCTTTCAGGCATCTTTGAAGCAATGCATCATCTGAAAGCCTTTGAAATATTGGTGTTAGTTCTTCAAAAAATACACCGGGTAGCCTCTTATCTTGGCAATATTTTCCATCATTGTATAGCTTTTCCTTCCAGAACTTACACCATGTATCTTGATCTTTAGGGCAAAACTGGTGTTGTTCTTCCAATGATAAATAGTTGTTTATGATACAATGATGCTGAATGGCTTTGATACTTTGCTTCATTCCATCAATCGATCCTTTGTTGTTTCGTATTGCTGATCCATAATAGTTTTGAATATTGTCAATAACAACTTTTGTAAGTCTCCCTTTACCACCAACATATTTTCCATCTGAAAGTTTACAACTTTTTCTTTTATTTTTGAATTCTCTCAAGGCAGTGCCAATTCTTTTTTGGATGTGACCTACACATTCTTCTTTTCTGACCTCATAATCTTTACCATATTTTCCCTCTAATGCCTCTTTAACTCTCCCAAAACTACTGCTGTCTCCATCCCCCACAAAATCAATATACTTAAGTCCCCTAGATTCAATACTTCTTAAAAATATTTCTATTGCACCAGATGCCTCCATTTCTCCTGATGATCCTTCATGGTTTATTTCACAACGGGACTTGTGATTCTCATGCCAAGATTTATATTGATCTGTCTCCTTGTCATCCTTTTCATGACATCGACATTCATGGCATGTTTTTGATTTGATAACATAATCAAGAACAGCACCAGTTCTAACTGACATCACAAAAACAACTCCAATCCGGGAAGAATGTCCTCGTTTTTGCCATGTGCCATCAACTGTGACACCAACATTTGCAATTTTCCTACCACTATCATCAAACTGTATTTGAAAAGGTTCCTCTTTCTCTGTTATCTGTATCAGCTTCTCTGAAGCTTCAATCAATACTCCTTCAGTCGCTTTTACAATATGTTTGCATACATTTTTCAGCTGTTGCTGATAACTGGACTTTGCAAGAGGAGGTGGTAGTCCCATGGTGCCACAAAAATCTGACAATCTGGCATGACCAATCGAAGATGAAGCTATGACAGAGCAGGCATTGACCTCTGAAACTTTCCTGCCAGTTAATGCTTTGCTTGTTTGCAGTAGAGTTTCATTTCCACAATTTTTACACACAAAATACAAGCTTTCTTCAAGTCCTTTTCTCTTCTTTTCATCTACCATGATATCAATTCCCGTTTTGTCGGTTTTACAAAGTGTGCAAATAAATGCTGCTTCTAGACTCTGTTTTAGCAGATCAAAGTCAATAATTTTGAAACCACACGCAGGATGAATTTGTTCATATCTTTTACCGAGCTGTAAAGACCTGTTTCTAGTCTCATAACTGCTTTCATCGATAACCTCGAAGGATGAGTCAAGGTCGAAACTTTGGTCTGCCACACTTCCTGACTCACTAGGCCCTTGTGCACTACTTGTAAGAGGAGGACTTGTAGCCTGCACTGGACTAGCATTCGCTGATGGAATTTGTTCTGCCTTACGAATATCTTGGATCTTTATACCTTTGAATCCCTTACGTACTTTCCTTCGAATAGATCGAAACTTTTTAGCAGGCGACATTTTGGTTTGGGAACTGAAAGCATTTCACGAGGTGCTTCAAGATTGAAGAAACTGAGTTGAAGTGAATGCAATTTTGAATGGTAAAGAGGCTGGAAAAGACGGAATGGACAATGGACAAACACCTGGGACTTCTGTCGGTTTAAATATCTGCTGTATTTGGCATTTTTCTGTTAAAAACTCACCATAGCAACCAAAAAATACTCGTTGCTAAGGTTTAAATTTGTAAGTGGTCTCACAACAAATCGAAAATTCTCAAAAGTAAAGCTTCAAATACCAGCTTTTCAACCTCAGGGGCATAGAATATGCATCACAGAATGCAAAAAAACAATTTTTGAATTTGGTCCATATTTTCAGTTATTCAGCATTTTTACCCTGAACTGCCTCCTTAATTTTTATCCCCTCCATTTATCTCAAAATTTTTCTCTATTAAAGGCTAATTCTAATTTGAAAGCCTCGCTTTAAAAGAGGGTCTTGCTTTACCTTTTTAGCATCCGACATTACTTATTGTGGGTGAACACGACAAAAAATATCATCGAAATTGACTAAGACGTTCTACACCAAAACATAATCACAGGAACTCGCTCAGGGAGAGTACACTATGGTGGTTCTTCATTCAGATTGGCTATTTGTGCATTTAACCAATGAATATCATGGCCATGAAAATATATTCTGAGAAGAGTGGGGGACAGACTGTGAATCTTGGTAACTTTAATCTTTTCCCCACCGTTAGCAATTAAAGGACCCTTAGGAATTTGCTCCTCCGCACTGTATAGAAATTTCGCTGTTCAGTACCTCCGTTCTCCTTCAAGAAACTGTGAATAATGGCGGGCAACTTTTTCAGTTACACGTTGTTGAAGTTTAATTCGGGACCTTTTTTGAGATTAATGTTTTATTTTCCAAGCAGTTAAATAGCCAAAAAACTTGAATACGAAGAAGGTTGGTTAATCCAGAGAATTCTAAAGAAAAGCGATACAATTTCACGCTGTTGGCGACGTGAATCAAACTTCGATACCAACTGCTGATAACCTGTATAATGCAAATTTATGGTTGGTGATAAATACACAACAGCAAGGAAGGAAGAGTTATTTTTACAAAAATGAGAGACACTAGTATTTTAGACAATTTTGTGACTGCAGTTGAGCAGCAAGACACCCATAAAAGGTTGAAAGCCGCCGAAGAAATAATAACGTACGTGAATGATCCGGAGAACCCCTTCGACTTCCCTGGTGTCGATCGACTCATTGACGGCTTATTGGGATGGGCTGGAAGCAGCAATTTTAAGGTTTGTGGTGAATTTTATAACAAAAAAGCAAATTATGTTTTGCAAAAATAAATTATAAAGTTTTCAGCCAATAAACTTGCCATCAGGTTAGGCCCTATTTTTCTTTGTCCAACAAAATTTAAAAGTCCACAAAGAATGTAGTAAAAGACAATAAAACATGATACTGTTGAGAGTGATGTTCATTTGTTTTTTTAATTTTTCGAACCTCGTCATACTTCTACAGAATACTGACAGCATACAGTTACCCTCAAATCATTAGCTTTATACCATTTTTTCTGCCAAATATAAAGTGATATTTTTCAAATCAAATTGCCTCTGTAGAATTTCATTCAAACTACACAAGGGAATTAGTTCAAATGTACCAAATTTAGAAATTTAGAAGAAATGCAACAAAACACATCAGTTGCCCAGTTATGATGAAGTGACCAAGTTTTATGTGAATTTCAGTAGAAGCTTGTTAGGCATATTTTCAGTTAAGAATTTTTTATCTTTTGATAGTGTATGAGAGGTGCTTGTACAGTTCAATCCGGTTATAACATACTTTAAGGGACCAGTGTATTGAGTACGTTATATCCAAAGTACGTTGTAACGAAGGTAAGTAAAAATTGACTAAAACCAAGCACATATTTTGCTGGGAACAAGCACACCAGTACGTTATATCCGAAAGTACGTAATAACCGAGTATGTTATAACAGGATTCTACTGTACATTATTTTAATTGCCAGATTGAATCAATGCTTTCTACTCTTAAATATTGGCATATTTACCATGAAATCAGGTACTGATGGTTTTTGGTTTTTTCAAATGTACACTTGTTTTCATTAAAATCTTAATCATGAAATTGCCATAACAGCCATACATGTCAATTTTAAAATCAACCATAACAAACCAAAGGGGAAATATTTGATGGAACATAAACTAAACAATGGTAAACAAAATGGAAATTTGTTAATGGTTAATAAAAGATAATACAAATTAGTTAATGAAACTTTCGACCTGTTGTAACCTTAAGTGAATAACGAGGAGCTAGGTTGTCCCAGTTCTTTGATTTGTTGGATAGCTTTCTCACAAAATGTAATAATTGCTGTTTTATTTATGTAAGATAGAATCACCTTCTAAACCATGGTTTCAAAGATTTTGCCTAAAATGTGCACACTTTTCATTGATATATGCTTTGTGACATATGTATTTCCATTTTGCTGTTAACCCAAGTAGTTACCTTCATGAAATTACCCTTAGAAAATTAGTCAGCTTCTCTCAATGGTATTTTCTCATTGTAATTTAATGAAATTGCCCAATTATGGCAGACATTTACTTCATTGTACAATTAATATAAATGAAACATAAAACTTAAAATATTCCTAACTTTTTAATATACACTAGTGCCACTTAATCCATTTATTTTTCCAGAGGATGGTTTGGGGAACTGTGTTGCACTGATGCCATAACTGAATTTGCGGTAATTTTAGGGGGTTTTTGTCTTTTCTTTCAGGGGCAAATTTTCCTATAATTCATCGGGGGCTTGGACAGAATTCTTGTCTTTATCAAGGCTAATTTTACTATCATTCACTGGGGGTTTTAAGAGAATTCTTGTCTTTTCCGAGGCTAGTCTATGTACCCTACCGTAGGGCCACTGGCAAGCCCGCAAAGCGGGCTTTGTAGGGGAGCTACTGGCATTCTAATTTTTTCAATAGCTTCTAACAGGGCTTGAAACTATCACAAAATATTTTACAGCCCTTTCGACAGAAAGCTTAACCTTTTAAAACCTTTGGGTGAGGCTAAGAAATTAATCACATATTGTTTCTATCCTTTGAAATAATAGTTTTTCTTCTTTATTAAGATTTCAAAAAAGAAAACCACATCTGTATTGAAAGCTACGCTTGGCTAGGTTCAAATCCTTTTTGTTTCTCTATCGATTTATTGAATTTCTGTTCAAAAATGCTTTGTTTGCTGGTTTCTTAAGGGTGTAGTTTCTTCAAACAATGACAATTATGTGATTCACAGCCAAATATTGGCAACCAATTTTTTGGAAAAGGCTTGAAGATAAGACTGTGTTCTGTCACCTGAGGGGAAGCCATTTATCTGTTTGTTTTTCAACTAGCTTGTAGCTAGTTGAGTTTTTGGTAGTTTAATTGTAGCTAGTTTTGTTGTCCTTCCTGTATATGCAGGCCTTCACCTGTACTGTGTCTGTTTTTGTTTCAGGCTTTTTCCCACCAATGTTTCATAATATCACCAAATTAGGTATTTTGTGGCAAAACATCAGGCTTAAAAAATGCCTTATCTAAACAATTGAATTATCATACATTAGGTTCACACTATATTATCTTTAGAAATTGCCTAATCTATTTCTGTATCTTCTTTTGTATAAATTTGTTTCTGTGGTTAGTGAAACAGTTATAATTCAAGTTTGATTATGAATAATGTCATTCACACTTATATCTGTTTGCAAGTAATTTAATGTTTATAAAGGCATTTACAAAGGCAGTTATTTTGATGACCTGGCAGAGGATTGATCATGAGAAAAAGTTTCTTCACATGCAGTTTTAAATTATTTATGAAAATGCTAGAATATTGTTTTGTAGGTTTTTGTCATCTTTAATTTCTTCTCAAATGATCATTGTTTTGATTTGGAGAGCATTGTACATTTTAACACTTTTATGTTTTGAACAAACCAGAACTCTTGTGTTTTTTACAAGCAATTTTTAATAAGTTGTCTGTTTTATTGGTGTCAGATGTACTTTATTTAACATGTTATAAATTCTTTTAAATGAAGCAATAGATAGATTCTTCTCTTTATTCTTCAATTAAATGGAATATCGCAACCTCATTCTCTAGTTTTATGTGAGAAATTTCAAAGTAAGCAGTTCAAAGATCTTTTCAACTGGCAAATTTCACAGCAATTTGTTTCCCCCTATGCTTTTTAATTGGTCTTCTGTCTCGTATTTTTCTATCTCTAATCAACTAACATGTTATATATTGTCAGACAAGTGACAAAGCATATCTCTACTGACAGGTCTGGATTAATAACCTACACTGATATGTATCTATATATTTATATAATGCATGCATGTATAGTTCTCCCTGAATCTATTGTTTTAGGTATCCCAATATGGCCTTGAAATATTGGCTGCTCTTGCTGAAAAACTTGGTGGGAATTTCAAATCATCTCTGAACTCAGGTTTGAATCTATCTGTTCATATCAATGTCTGTTTACTGATGCTGCTGGTCTCACAATGTTTTGTTTAAAGAGTGCATTCAACAGCTCATGGTGAATTCATGAAAGGACCAGTGAAACTGATTTCAGAATGTTATCTTTTAATCAGGTTTTTTGTGGGAAATTTTGTTTTAAACTGGTTCAAAAGGCACTAATCCTATAATGGGTCTCTAAGTTTGCAATCTCAAGCTCCATCACAATCAGCTGTCTAGAGAGAACTTTAGTGATGTTTTCAGGAACTGTTAAAAATATTTTGTCTTTATTGAATTATTGAAGAAGGTATATATGTAAATGAGATGTTTTAGGTAGTATTGAGTGTCTATTAGCTTAGTTACAGAGAATGGAACTGAATAAAGGATGACACAAATATAAAATTAGTTAAAAAATAGCTTCTATGTAAGTTAGCATTAACAGTGAATGTTGGGTAAAAAATCAACACAAGTTAATAGTTATGAGTAATGCTGATTAGACAAGGCTTTACTCAATCTACTTGAATTGTTGACTGTTACTGATGATAAACTGTGGGCTGATTGGTTGTCTTACAGACTGCACCAATGATTTTATGTGTTCTAAGGGTGGGAGATTTTTAAAGGCAGTATGTCCCATCAGGCAATTATTCAGAGTGAGCAATGCAGCATGATTGAGAAAGTGTTTGGATTTTGTCTGATGTTGCGAATTAGTATATAGGTATGTCATGTAGTTCAACATATGGGAACATAGTGTCTTTAGTCTAATTCACTGTCTTTAATTTCATTATATTCAAGTGAACTCTCTCTTTTTGAAACATTATACAAAACTCAGCTTTAATTATTACCACAAATCCAGCTTTCATTGTTAGATTGAAAGTGCTTTTAAAGCAAATTAGACCTAGTAGAAAAAAATCTGATTCACCAAGTGTGTAGTTTATGGTCCAAGTTAACCTCATCTTTCCTTTTTTTTAGTAATACCTGTTATTGCTGACCGTCTTGGTGACTCCAAATCTCAGGTAATGAATATATAAGGCTTGATCTTTACAAGTTGTATTTATATATAATTAAAGGCAAGTGTCACTGATAATACAAAGTTAAATTATTAGTTGCAGT